TCACATTATTGGTCAGGATTTTTATACATTTAACCGCATTTCCGACGAGGGCATGTAATACTTATTTCGTCCACTTGGGGGAGCTCAGGTTACATGAGGAAAGCTTGGATTAAATCAAAGATCGTCTCTCCTTAGGAACCGGGGAATATTGTTGATTCATCCTTAAATTCAAGCTGGCGATTAAGAGTATAGTAAAACATTTCTTTGTCATCATTTCTAAAGGGATTTTGTAAGAAAGTATTATGAACAAGCATTGATTACATCAGATGAAGGAGTGTCTTGCTGAAAATAAAAACATTGCACAAGTAACTTCTTTTCAGCACTAATATCAACAACAGATAGCAACAACAGTTAACATAACTACTCAAATAGAGGCAAACATATTCAGGTAACTAAAGGTTTAATTAAATTTAATTAGATGCTTTGAGTCTTTTGGAGAATGCAGTCCTTGGTCATCCAAAGTTCAGTGTCTGGAACATGTCACACTTAGGTGAGACAAGGAGTATCCTTTTGATGTGGTAATAAACAAAGAATAAGGTCAGTTTCCACGGAAACGTGTGTGGTGGGGTAAGTTTTGATAGGCTGTTCAGGGAGATGCCAATGGCTGGCTCGTGTCCCTTTGTCAGTTTAACAGTCAGGCCCCGCGTTATCAGCTTCGGAATCAAAATGGTGCCAGTTTTATGGTCGGGCTAGCACTTAGAGAAAGCAACTTTGACCCCTCCCCATCTTCTCTGGGGAGGAGAAAGGAATTTAGGGTAGCTCCACATTCATTCAATATACAGTGGGTACGGAAAGTATTCAGACCCCTTTAAATTTTTCACTCTTTGTTTCATTGCAGCCATTTTCCAAAAATCAAAAAAGTTCATTTTATTTCTCAGTAATGTACACTCAGCACCCCATCTTGACAGAAAAAAACAGAAATGTAGAAATTTTTGCAAATTTATTAAAAAAGAAAAACTGAAATATCACATGGTCATAAGTATTCAGACCCTTTGCCGTGACACTCATATTTAACTCAGGTGCTGTCTATTTCTTCTGATCATCCTTGAGATGGTTCTACACCTTCATTTGAGTCCAGCTGTGTTTGATTATACTGATTGGACTTGATTAGGAAAGCCACACACCTGTCTATATAAGACCTTACAGTTCACAGTGCATGTCAGAGCAAATGAGAATCATGAGGTCAAAGGAACTGCCTGAAGAGCTCAGAGACAGAATTGTGGCAAGGCACAGATCTGGCCAAGGTTACAAAAAAATTTCTGCTGCACTTAAGGTTCCTAAGAGCACAGTGGCCTCCATAATCCTCAAATGGAAGACGTTTGGGACGACCAGAACCCTTCCTAGAGCTGGCCGTCCGGCCAAACTGAGCTATCGGGGGAAAGAGCCTTGGTGAGAGAGGTAAAGAAGAACCCAAAGGTCACTGTGGCTGAGCTCCAGAGATGCAGTCGGGAGATGGGAGAAAGTTGTAAGTCAACCATCACTGCAGCAATCCACCAGTCGGGGCTTTATGGCAGAGTGGCCCGACGGAAGCCTCTCCTCAGTGCAAGACACATGAAAGCCCGCATGGAGTTTGCTAAAAAACACCTGAAGGACTCCAAGATGGTGATAAATAAGATCCTCTGGTCTGATGAGACCAAGATAGAACTTTTTGGCCTTAATTCTAAGCGGTATGTGTGGAGAAAACCAGGCACTGCTCATCACCTGTCCAATACAGTCTCAACAGTGAAGCATGGTGGTGGCAGCATCATGCTGTGGGGGTGTTTTTCAGCTGCAGGGACAGGACGACTGGTTGCAATCGAGGGAAAGATGAATGCGTACAAGTACAGGGATATCCTGGACGAAAACCTTTTCCAGAGTGCTCTGGACATCAGACTGGGCCGAAGGTTTACCTTCCAACAAGACAATGACCCTAAGCACACCGCTAAAATAACGAAGGAGTGGCTTCACAACTCCGTGGCTGTTCTTGAATGGCCCAGCCAGAGCCCTGACTTAAACCCAATTGAGCATCTCTGGAGAGACCTGAAAATGGCTGTCCACCAACGTTTACCATCCAACCTGACAGAACTGGAGAGGATCTGCAAGGAGGAATGGCAGAGGATACCCAAATCCAGATGTGAAAAACTTGTTGCATCTTTCCCAAAACGACTCATGGCTGTATTAGATCAAAAGGGTGCTTCTACTAAATACTGAGCAAAGGGTCTGAATACTTATGACCATGTGATATTTCAGTATTTCTTTTTTAATAAATTTGCAAAAATTTCTACATTTCTGTTTTTTTCAGTCAAGATGGGGTGCTGAGTGTACATTACTGAGAAATAAAATGAACTTTTTTGATTTTTGGAAAATGGCTGCAATGAAACAAAGAGTGAAAAATTTAAAGGGGTCTGAATACTTTCCGTACCCACTGTAAAATGCACAAATCCACACCGTTGTTCACTACACTAATATATTTATAGGTTACACTTTTGGCTTATGTCTGCCTTCAGATTGTTTATAGTAGGCCTATTTGTAACTTTTCAACAATTAAACTGATTAAAAAATAAAAACGTTGTCTGTCTTGTTAAGGTTTGATCAGGGCCAATATTAGTATTCATTAGAATTTCAGATAATAGTATTATATAGAGCTTACCCCTAGTATAACATTAATTTCAGTTATGTAGTTGTTCTCTTAAATCCTTGTGCATGAAAATACTCTACATGGTAGTTAGTCTATTATTTGTTAATGCTAAGTGCTAACTTGTCAATAATCAGAACCATTCATGCAGAAGGAATTTTTTTTAATGTCCCGGACATTGTGTAGAAACATGGCGGTGCAACATGACGACTTCCATGTAAGAGGACCCGCGGTTATGTAGATAGAAATGGCAGTAATAAAAACATAACGGTTTATTTTGTAAGGTACACCACTGAAAACATATTATTTTGCATTTCTGTCTATAAATTCTCCTAAATATTACACACTGAATCTTGGAATGTTTTTATTTAAGTTACGTAGGTTACGTAAATTGCGTAAGTTACGCAAGTATTGTTACTTAACTTACGTAAGTTAACTGACCCAAACCATGATGTTTTCCTAACGCTAACCAAGTACTTTTGGTGACTAAACCTAACTAAACTGCAACGTTTCACAACTTAAATAATGTGTTGTTTAAAAATGGAGATGTTTCGCAATGTGAATGTTTTATTTTGAAAGTCTAACCGGATGTTTATTGTTGCTAACTTGACCGCGGAGACCTAAAGGCCAGAAAATGATGCCAAAGGGGGACCCAGTGTGTTCAAAAGCGACACCAAAGGGTTTTGACCATGCGTCCATATGTGACGAGCTGGGAGTAAGAATGTGTTTGCTTATACACATCTCCCCATCATGACCACACAGACACACACAAAGAGGCCGCCACTAGTCACATGGGTCACCATGGCATCAGCAACAAAGTGGACCTCCTCAGCCGCCACACACTGCCTTGATCTTTTTGGTTCCATATTGAAACTGAGATTATGTTTAGGAGGCTAATCCCATGTTACATGCGTATTATAGCTCTTTTAGTGTGCTAGCTAGCCAGCATGCAGCAATAGGCGTTTCATGGAGGCTTTAGTCATACAGTATTATTGACTTACTCAAGGCGTGTAGCCTACTTAGATCTGTGTGTGTGTGTGTGTGTGTGTGTGAGGTTGGTATATAAATAGTCAAAGTTGAAAACATTACAGATAGAGGTACTGAATGTTCTAGTAGGAGGTACTTGCGATAAAATCTTGGGTAAGTTTCAGGGCCATTGCTCATCTGTTGTCTGCGGATTTTCCACTTGTGAATAGATTTATTGTCTTTTTTCACACTGTTGACTGGGTTGGAGATGATGGTGGGTAAAATGTGCATGGCACCTCCTTTAAAACATTTACACACACAAACACACAAATACACACAGACACACACACACGCACACACACACACAAACGGCCCCTCAGTCCTTGCATTCAGACAAGATATTTATTTCTCCAGCGGATTGTTTCAGAGGCAGAGCGTCTCCATGGTGATGGCAGCCCACAGATCAGGATGAGGAAGAGAGAGGGAAGGAGGGAGGGAGAAATGATTCCAGCTTATCTGCCACTGCTGTACACTTGTTGACACACATATATGCTGATGTGTATTCACACAGGCGGTTAATACACTCTACTCCATCCTCTCTCTTTCACTCCTGGTTTCTTGTTGATCTCTTCGCGCTCCCTGCTCTCTCACTCACTCTCACTTCACCTCCCTCCCTGTATGCCTTCTTTATGTTTCTCAGTTTAATCAGATGCCATATGTTTTAACCAAGCTTCAAACTGGGTCATCTTTGCCATATTTTACACTAACTAACCACCCTTTGCAACACTAGGTAAATTAGGGCAGAGAACAGCAGCATTAGAAGAAGTGTCCTTGCTTTTAGTTACCATACAATGTGATATCTCTGTGAAGGGTCTCAGTCATCCAGATCATAGTTATTCAAGAAAGGTTAAGTCAAAGGCAACTGGACTGATACTTAATAAGAGGCGTCTTCAAGCATTTTCAATGGAGTACATTTGCCCTTGATTTAACCTTCCTTGGATACAATGTGATCATGAAGAATTCTGTGCTTCTGCTTTTTCGGTTTCCATCGTCACACTTTTGAATAACGTGTGTATATATACTGTATATATAATGTATATATCTTTATTTAACTACAAAATGACCTTGAGATATAAAATGGTCTTTTTCAGGTAATGTCCTAAAACATAAAGGTTACTACCAGTGCTTAATTTGTGCCGGAGCGCTGCTCCGGCACCTCTGAGTTTAAGCCTTTTGCGCCCTTTATAAACACACACACACACACACACACACACACACACACACACACACACACACACACACACACACACACACACACACACACACACACACACACACACACACACACACACACACACAAAAATGTATACACCTCTGGCAAGTCATTCCTGTTAGGTGTGGCTGAAAAGGACTCAAGCAATTAACTCAAGCAGATTTATAGTAGAGTAGCAAGAAGTGGATTGGGGTGTGGAAAGCGGGCAGACATGTGAGAGGGCTCCAAGGCAGGCTCCGGCTTGATGGGCTGCGTCCTGCAGCAAACAATTTAAGGCAGGCAGGCAGCATCCTCAAACAGGCTGGGATTCTGGCAGGCAGAGACACAAACAGTTAAACACAGGCAAAAAGGGTTTCCAACGACTAAGTTCTGTTGACAAGATTCTGAAATCAGCCACAGCATAGTTACCACTAAAGGTTTACTGACGTGGTGAAGAGCCAGTGTATTTCATTGAGGAGGTTGATTACAGGATGAGCCACAGGTGAGAGCTTCTGCCGGTGGAGAACAGCCAGGAGAGAGGAAGCCACAGTGACACGCCCATAACCACACACAGACAGAGACAGCAGGGTGGGGAAACCCAAGGGGGTAAGCCCATAGATATATGTACTATAGTACTGGACAAAGTCACCCCGCTGATTTGAATGGAGAGCAGTGAAGCCAGTTTTGGACCAATGAAATACTACTTCCTGTTGGCACCAGCGTCTGCTGCACATGATCATAACGGTAGAAACACCGTAATTCTGGTAGCTGCATAGCCAAATATAAAAAATGTGAAGAGAGTATTCAAAGATGAACAAAGCAAATGTGTTAAAAAGTATACTGTAAAACCTGTGGGAGTCAGATATTCTACATAGCCTTTTCCAGACATTATTTTCTGAACCATGTAGCAACAGATTTCACGAAAGAACATTACTAGTTTTTCACTGCCAAATATTTGAACTGAATATTTGACAGCACTGAGTCATCGCAGATACCAGCCATGTCTGCTTTGTGATTAAAATGTTTGACTCAAAATGTTAATATTCAAGACATTTGAGGATTTTTAAAAGCAGGGGTCTTAAACACCACTGTCAGTATGTTAAAGAAGTTACCGGCAGTTTGTACTACTGATGTAGCACTGTTGTACTGGTACCCCTGTTATGGTGCAGCCTTAAAGCTGCATTAATCTGTATTTAATCATGTGTAATAGAATGAACCCACAGGGAAATTTTTGACTTGGACTTACATTCACCTGATGACTATAAATGAATGCTAATGTGTATCGGCTGGATGTGTAAATATGTCGTTGTTTGCTAACATAGTCACAATAACTTGGGTAGATAATATGCCATTGTTGTGTTTCCAGGTTTCTGTGCTTCCCCCTAAGGCCTAAAAAAAATCAATTAATGCAGTCTTAAAGAAAGTCCTAATCTTGATACACCTTAAATGTGCAGTATGTTCTGTTCATCTTGCTGTCACCATTGTCAGTCGTGAAATAATATACATTTTACCATAATCTCAAGTTTGTTAAAAGGGCCTTTAATCATATATATCCTTTATTTATTTGTTAACTTATATTGTGTGTAAAATAATAATGTTTAAGGTCTAAATTCTGCAGGCAGATATGAATGTATCTAACACAAACTTCTCATTCTCAGGTACCTCATGAATGTGACGTTTGAAGGCCGAAACCTGTCATTTAGCGAGGAGGGTCACCAGATGTTTCCCAAACTGGTCGTCATTCTTCTAGACAACGAGAGACAGTGGGACAGGGTGAATATCTTCTCCTCTCCTATTACCATCCCCTTTCTGCGTCCTGTTCCTGCCTTCTCTCTACCTATAACCTATCTTCTGCCTTTTTTTCTGGTCTGTATTTTTCCTCCTCTTTGATGTGGCTGTCACTGTTTCATTTGGAGTGCCTCTCTGCCACCTGACTTTCCTGTTACAGTAGCCTGTATATCACACAGTACTCCTCCCACTCACTCATGCAGGTTGGCAAGTGGGAGAGAGGCTCTTTGACGATGAGGTACCACGTGTGGCCCCGCTTTGAGCTCTACTCAGGAGCGGAGGAGCGGGAGGACCACCTGTCCATCGTGACTCTGGAGGAGGCGCCATTTGTCATTGTGGAGGACGTGGACCCGCTCAGTGGGACCTGCATGAGGAACACTGTGCCGTGCCGCAAACAGCTCAAACTCAAGTGAGAATTTAGAGTTAGATTTGGACATTCTGATTTATACATCAGTATGGCTGCAACATGAATTATTTACAATGTTTCTGGTCCATCCATCCATCCATCGTCAATCGCTTATCCTGCGTACAGGGTCGCGGGAAATGTTTCTGGTATACTGAATAATTCAAATTCAAATTGTCACACCAAACAATTCACCAAAAACCATAACACACCAACAGCTACATGTGTAGTTTAGCAGAATAGTATGCAAACTGTGAATGTAAACAAAAGAAATAAAGAAATTAATCTGTACTTTCATGAAACATGCATGTGCATAGAGGAATGCTCACAGTCATGAATTATGGTTCATTTTAAATTTCCCCCTTTTTTTGCATGTCTTGTTTCTTTAATATCTTTCTGTGTCGTAGTACGCTGTAGTGATTCTCCTTCTTCTGTACTGGATTTTAAAAATAGAATAATTTTCATCCTCTCACAACCTCTGTGTCCTGTGATTACCTCTCCTGTCTTCAATAATGTTAACTAGATCATTGTCTTGATTTTTGTCACTGCCCTCCCTTGCCTCTTCACCCTGACCCTCTTGATATCCACTTCTTCTTGGTGTGTGATAATGAATTTTCTTCAGTGGCCTCCTTTTCTATCACTGGCCTACCTGATATCTCACGAGGGTTCAGTGTTTCACCCTGTTCTTTCTCCTATTCCCCTATTGCCCTTTTCTCCTTCCCGCTGTCTCTCTCTCTGTCTGTCTCTTCCTCACATACAGCATATCTGGGATAGGCAGCAATATGTTCTCCAGGATTTCTCTCCAGCCAAAAATACTCCTCTAGCCAGATGCATGGAGCTGTGTATCTCTGTCTTTGTATGCACAAAAGCAGAAATATGTGGATACAGCCTGTATTGCCAGAGAGATAAACCCCTGTGTTCACATTATTCCTTGTTATACAGAGCATTTTATCTCAGTAATCATTAAGGTTTTTATGACTGATCTAATCTTCCAATTAATTTCTTGATTAATCATTTCATCCAAAACATGTTAGAAACCGTGAGTTTTGTGCAAAAAAGCCCAAATCCCAAAGATATAAGTTTATCATATATAACAAAGAACAGCAACATACAGTGTATGACAGAAGAACAGTGACATACGTTAGCTTTTCAGAAGATGTAACCAGTAAATATTTGCCATTTTTGCAATGTCTGAAATGATTAATCTAATATCAAAAAAGTTGTCCATTCATTTTTTGTAGATTAACATGTATACACATCTGACCCCAGGTGCTTTCACAGAGCAGTTCCTGGTGTTGTGTGCTAGTCAGTGAAACTACCTGGTGGAGTTTTTGGTTGGAAGAAACCTGCATGGGCACATGGGACATAGTTGTTTTGCTTTTATTTCACATTTCATCCCTGCTACTAGCCTTTTGGTTTTGAATCTGCAAGTTTTGTTTACCTGAACCCAAACGGACATTAACCTCAGATTGCTGAAACGTTGAAACTTCCTCTTCATCTCTTTGCCACCGACCAGCAATCAGACAGGTGATTCAGGGATTTACATCAAGCGCTGCTGCAAAGGTTTCTGTATTGACATCCTGAAGAAGATCGCCAAGGCCGTGAAGTTCACTTACGACCTCTACCTGGTCACCAACGGCAAACACGGCAAAAAGGTTAATGGGACGTGGAACGGCATGGTTGGAGAGGTGAGGGCATTTCGCTTAATTCAACACATAAACACAGTCACATGTTTATTCCACATGTTCTTGATAAATTACCGGCTCTGAGTCTGCGTCACTGATCTATAGTGGATGGATGGTTTTTTTTGTTACATATTAGGTTGTACAGAAGAAGAAAGGTGGATGTTGTTCTAATAAGCCTAGCCCGACACCAGAAAGAAGTGGCAGCTCTGCTTTGGCTGTTAACAGCTTTAAAATAACCACTCTGCTGGCACATCAGCAGATCAAATTTAACTGTTATTTTGTTGAGTGAGAAAAGTTGCAGCTGGAGTATAAGATGAGAATTGGGTTACCACGTTTCTCCCTCTCATTGCATTTGTTTGATGTAGCCTGATGGAAGCCATTTTAAATTGTGTAACACTGATTTTTGCTGAATTTCTGGAAGGAACGGCACCGATCTGAAAACGTCAGATCAACATGGTTGAGGGTTATGGAAACCTCTGTGGAAGTAAAGCGGGAAAAAATGCCAATAATTACTTAATTTTGGCATTCTTGGGGAGCTGCAAAGGAGGCTCCACAAATATTAACCACAAAAATACTGTGTGCTTAATTAAAACCAATTGCAGTGTTTCTTTTTTGGTCACCATATTTCCTGGGAGAACACACCAACATCAATTAAATTTGGAGTCTACTGCTAGCTGAAAACAGCTATAGATTAATACATCAATGTGTTTTCATTTCTTTAATATGCTGTATGTTTTTTTATTAAATGTATGTATCTTTATTCACTCTGTTTTCCTTTGCATCACTTTTGCTGCTCTTATTCCCCCTCACATTTTCACTGTTAAGCATTTTGTTATTCACTTTGCCATACGAATACAATGCACAGACTAAATTCCTTTTCAGAATTTGAAAATCAATTAAACAAGCACGTAGGTAAGTATATAATCTAATACTTATTCTAACACTGCTACAAGCGGGTAGAGTGTTTTGGTGCCCATAGGAATTTTCTTTTTTACGATAGGGCTGATTATAATGTCTGAATGTCTCTTTCTTCCCATTTAGTTTCTCATTGTCTCTGTCAGCCATCGAGCACTTGTTCCCCACAACCTGGCCTGAGGGAGAGCTGTGATCAGCTCCACAAAAACCTCAGGAGAAGGACAATGAGGCTCCTCATCAGAGTTGGAAAAAGAAAAAGACACATAGAGAGAAAGAGAAAGCGATTAGAAGAGGGAAAGAGAGAGCAGCCTCAGGGAAAGACTCACTTCTCTCCTGCACAATTTACACATTAGGCATTCAGCACAATGCAGCCTTTAAAAATCAATGTGATGTTCAACTTCATTGATTATGGCATAGATGGAGCAACTTTATTATTGTCTTTAGAACATGGATGTGTTCATATGTGCAGGATAATGTATCTTAAGTCCACCTACTGTATATTGCCTTTTAAAATGTCTGAATTAGACATGAGTATAAATTCAAGGCTATGCAAATGTACAGTGCATCCATGCTTGGGTGCATTAGTTCATGCCCTTAAATGCCTAAGCAAGCAGCTAATGATTTCATTTGAATGGGGGAAAACAGAACACAGGAAACAGAATGAGAAGGAGAGAGAAGGAAAAGAAAGCATTGGTACAAACAGAGAGCGTTGCATTCCTGCTCACTCTGGCATACATATGCCTTATTAACACAGTCTCTTGTGCTCCATTTTTATTCATGGCCCGAGGCTCCAGAAACTTAGGGCTAAATACAGTATACCTGAACATACTCGGAGGGAGGTCGGGTTGGTGGGGAGCTGAATGCTGACCCAGTGTAGTAAGCATCCCCTTCTCCTGCTTCCATTCTACCAAAATAACGTGTTAAAGACTTGGCAAAGATGGTGGCTTGTGAATGAACTGCAGCACTGTTACTTTTCCCACCATGTTTCTTTCACCACAATCCTGGAAATATTCTGCACCGAGTGCCCATTTACCTCCCATGTCTCCCTCCTCTCTGCCCCTGTCTGTCTACGTTTACCCCTTTAGGTGGTGTTAAAGAATGCCCACATGGCAGTGGGTTCGCTCACCATCAACGAGGAGAGGTCAGAGGTCATTGACTTCTCTGTGCCCTTCATTGAGACGGGGATCAGTGTCATGGTCTCCCGTAGCAATGGAACCGTCTCCCCCTCCGCCTTTCTTGGTAAGTAGAAATGCACCTGGTGCTTCTGGCAGATGGCTGTCCACAATATTTAGGAGTGCGTTCATGGGAATTTTTGACCGTTCTTCTAGAAGCACATTTGTGAGGTCAGGCACAGATGTTGGACGAGAAGGTCTTGCTTGCAGTCTTCGCTCTAATTCATCCCAAAGGTGTTCCATCGGGTTGAGGTCAGGACTCTGTACAGGCCAGTCAAGTTCTCCACACCAAACTCGCTTGTCCATGTCTTTATGGACTTTGCTTCATGCACTGGTCATTTTGAAACAGGACGGGGCCAAGCCCAACCCCTGAAAATCAACCCCACACCATAATCCCCCCTCCACCAAAGTTTACACTGGCACAATGCAGTCAGGCAAGTACCGTCCTCCTGGCAACCGCCAAACCCAGACTCTAGCCACTCGTCCAGTGGCAGCGTGCTTTACACCACTGCATCCGACGCTTTGCATTGCACTTGGTGATGTAAAGCTTGGATGCAGCTGCTTGCCCATGGAAGCCCATTCCATGAAACTCTCTACGCACTGTTCTTGAGCTAATCCGAAAGCCACATGACATTTAGAGTTCTGTAGCTATTGACTCTGCAGAAAGTTAGAGACTTCAGGCACTGTGCGCCTGACCATGCTCTGTGATTTTATGTGGCCACCCACTTAGTGGCCATGGAAGTGATTGGAAAACCTGAATTCAATGATTCGGAGGGGTGACCTAAAACTTTTGGCAATGTAGTGTATAGAGTTTTTTTGTAAATACATTGAATGTCTTTTGCTGGAAACATAACTGTAAATCTTACAAAAGTTGGCACTGATGCTATTAACTCTAAAGTTCTGGAAAAAAATCTAACTGGCAAACTATCTGCTGATAAAGATCATGTGATACAGTTGAAAGATCAAGAGCAGCTACTAAATGGACCTTTGTAGTGAGATTGTTTTGTTGCTAGGGTGTTGGTCACAGACTATTTTGCGCGTGAAAACTGTAAAGCAGAGTGCAAGTGCAGAGTGCATCTGTCCATTCACACCTACCTGCCTTCCTCTCAGTTTCTCTCTTGAGAAGTGCTTGTTAGTGTTCACACATACTCAGAGAAAATCCATCAACGTGCAACAATGAGCACACAGTGCATAACATCTGCATAAAAATAATCATGTTGATACCAGGGGGTGATTTTATAATTTTCTTTCATTTGGTTTGATGACCTTCCTCTCTCTGTCTTCTCACAACCCTCCCTCTCTCCCCTTTCCTCTTCTTCTGCACCCTGATCCCCGCCCTCCCTCTCTGTGTTTTAGAACCTTTCAGTGCTGATGTCTGGGTGATGATGTTTGTGATGTTGCTGATCGTGTCGGCCGTGGCTGTGTTTGTGTTTGAGTACTTCAGCCCGGTGGGTTACAATCGCTGTCTGGCAGATGGGCGAGGTGAGAGGATTGTTCACACATACACACACACACACACACACACACACACACACACACACACACACACACACACACACACACACAAACACAAGCTCAGACCCAGCCAATCCATGCTCCAAAAAGGTATCAATGAGGTACAATTTCAGGCAATCTCATGTGCTACAATGAATACTTAGTTGGCATGTTTTGATACCTTGAATGCACCATTTGAACGGAGCCCTCCATGTGCTAAATTACTTTGACAATCCCTTCTGAATGAGTGCCACTGGAGTGCTGGGACTTGGAGTACTTATCTACATGTATAGTCACTTAAGCTCTTTCACTAATGAAAAGTATCATTGACAGTTGATCTTAAGTATTCTTAGCATCACTGTGTGAACAAAGACGCCTCTGTTCTCGCATTACAACGTCTTTTTGTGCCATTTGGCGATATGTAGGGCCGTAAAACCGATGAATACACTTAAGTAGATCTATTACCATACATTGAAAATATGTGTCAGATTTAATGTTGTCTGACAATATGGAACAACACTACCCTGTTGAATCAAATTCGGTTCCAGCAGGCCGTTCAAATCAATTTGCCCATCAAAATCAATGGTTCAGATTCAATCTATTTGTTTTCCTCCAGGTTTTATACACCCAGCTCTGTGTGACTCTCAGGATTGCATTAGCCTGGCACAACGGCAGCCACTCAAGATAAAATCAGATATCAGAGAAGTGCTATATTGCTGCTCACAGCCATTTTTATCAAGGACCAGAGGGGATAAGAGTAATGGTGTTTGATTTGGAGTTATGTTTCCTGCAGTACTGTTTTCTGAATGTCTCCTGTCACGACAACAGGGTTTGGTGTGTGTGGTTTAATCGCTAGGTTATGTAAGGCTGTTGTCCTATACTGCAGCTCCAGCTGTACCATAATTGTAGCCTGCTGTGTGCCCATCTACCCCCTCCCTCTCCTTTTCCCTGTCTCTGATGGCACAGAACTACAGTAGGTAGTTTTTCCATCCTGCTACATTGTGATACTGTCACAGAGGTAGGTGGAACAGAGTTAGTCTGTAACAGTTGGTTGTCACTGCAGCAGCTGGAAGAGCGGATTTGGACCGTACAGCACATCTTGTGATCACTGACATTCTAAAGGATGGGAATGAATCTAGGTTTTGTTGCCGCCATCCATCATGTGACTCCCGCAATGGCAGTCATGAGTAAATGCAGATAAAGTGAGGCAGTATTTGTGAAACTTCTTACATCGTGCTCCTACTTTCATCTTTCTTTGTCCCTCCACCAACCCCCCTCTTTTATGTCACTCTTTCTCTCCCAGAGCCCGGCGGTCCCTCCTTCACCATCGGTAAGGCCGTCTGGCTGCTTTGGGGTCTGGTTTTCAACAACTCTGTCCCTGTGCAGAATCCCAAAGGTACCACCAGTAAGATCATGGTGTCAGTGTGGGCCTTCTTCGCTGTCATCTTCCTGGCTTCCTACACTGCCAACCTGGCTGCCTTCATGATCCAGGAGGAGTATGTCGACCAGGTGTCGGGCCTGTCAGACAAAAAGGTGTGAATTCATGGCAATGGGAAGGGTTGTGGGGTGGAGGAGCAGGTGTGTCAAAGTACGTAACATGCGGTGGGGACGGATACCTGAGTTTAAGAGAGAGTTCATCATTTAGGACGGCAACTAATGATTACTTTCATTATGTATTACTTTATTTTTACAGGGTAGGTTTCAAATAATCTATTTATTAATTTTTTGGATTCTTCCATTAATTGTTTAGTTCACTGGTTCCCAACCTGACATACCACCACAGCACGATTAGACGAGAAGTGCCCCATGACTGACACCACCCATCATGTTTCAAATGTGTTCATCTAAATTGATTTGAAAGTAATTTATTGAAATATTAGTGAAATATTTTTTCCATGCAATCGAATCATGAATGTTTTTCTAGGTTTGGTCACAAATATAATTGTATGTCTACAGTTTGGAGGGACACAAGCAGCATGTTTCAAACGTTTATCCACCACTAGTTTTCATGCACTCTCAATTGCAACAGTTTGCCTTCATGGTGGTGGGAAGAGTGTCTTGTGCAGTCGGCCTGCTGTGGCTGGTTGTCAATTGTGACAATAAATATACTAAATTAAAACTAAATTAACCTCACTGTATGCATTTGTTTTCCTCCTAAACATAAATATGTGGATATATTTTTTAATAAAATTATTATTTAAATTTTTTATATTAAGTTAGCTGAGCTATTCCACAGTCTTTCCAGCATCCTATCCCCCAGGGTACTTCTACCCTGGGGGATAGGATGATGTTTTCAAAATGCCTGTTTTGTCTAACCAACAGTCCGAAACCCAAAACACTCAATCTGCAAAGACATGAAATGAAGACAAGCAGTAAATCTTCAGATTTATAAAGCTGGAAACAACGAATTTTGTTAATGCTTAAAAAATTATTAACACTGTTATGGATCGATTCATCTTTTTGAATAGCTTTTCTATGAGATTGTGCCCCACAAATAAACTTGATCAGTCGACTAATTTAGAGCTGAAACAATAAATTGCATTTAGAAAATGAATCAGTTGCTATTTTTATAATAGATTCTTTAATTTAAAACCATTTTCAAGCTGAAATTCCAAAGTGTTACTCAGCTCCAGCTTCTTCATTGTGAGGATCTGCTACTTTTCTTTGTCATATGTGTTCGTAAACTGAAAGACTGTTGTTCAGACAAAGCCATCACCTCGGGCTTTGGAAATTATGATTGCCATATGTCACTTTCTTCTAACATTTTACACACCAACCGACGAATCAATTAATTGAAAAATAAAATTAATTTATCAGTAATGAAAATGGTCACTAGTTGCAGCCCTAGACTTAATCATTTCAGCGCTTGTATGCTTCCAACCTGAATGGTGGATCTTTATTTTTTTAATTTCATCTAGTGTACAGTACATATTTGTCTAAAACGTTTGTCTGTCTATTAAGCACAATGCTAAGCATTTGGCTAATTTTGAGCTTCCAAAAGCATAGTCCCGTACTCCTGCTCAACAGTGCATTAAAGGCTATTTGATGCGGCTCAGTACCTTTTCCATGCTAACGAGCACTCCTCTGTCATTTTCTCTGTGTGGTTCCTTTTCCGGAAAACCCCCACCACAGTTCCAGAAGCCTAACGAATTCTCGCCGCCATTCCGGTTTGGCACGGTGCCCAATGGGAGTACAGAGCGCAACATCCGCAACAACTACCGGGACATGCATACTTACATGACCAGCTTCCATCAGAAGAATGTAGATGAAGCGCTGCACAGTCTGAAGACCGGGTGAGGAGGAGAGAGATATAGGGGAGGATGGATAGACAGATGGGGGATATGAGGAAGGAGGGAGTTGAAAGGATCTCTGCAGGAAGAAAAAAAGAGACAGTGTTATGGAGCTGTGAGGTCCTGTACTGATGCAATATAGAGAAAAGATGATCAAGGAATAAGGAAAGGGAGACAGAGGAAGAGGGAGCTTTCTGCGCAATGTGGGTGGGCAGCCAGTGAAGCTGTGTATCTGCCTTCCACTGGCGCCCAGAAATAGCAGTGTAGCCTGTAGTTGCTCTAAAAGCTTGCTAATATTCACTCTCTCTGCCTCTCAAAGTAGCTGATATCTTTCTTTCCTATTCACACTTTCTCTCTACCTGACTTTCAATGTATTCATCAACTGCTGCTAAAGAATTAAGAATGCAAAGTAGTGATGTACCTTTGGTGTTTGGTCAGAGTTTGAGTGACCACAGAGGTCTGTAGGGCCCTGCGGCACTGTTTGATGGCAGTTTGTTACCAAGCTGGAGACTGTCGTGTCAGTTTACCTATATCAAATCCCTCAGGGTTGATAAGAATAGAATATAATACAGGGTGTCCTCGGGATATTTTTCAGCTGAGATGTTATCCCACACAGATCCTGAGACACTTTGTCACTGGTATTTACAAAAAAAACAGCACAAGATCCAACTTACCTGTTTCAGAAGCTTTCAATCACATCTTCCACGGTGGATGGAGTTGCTCATTTGTCATGGAGATGATTTAGGTTTTACCATGTGACTGAAATTTCATACTAGTTTACTTGTTAATACCTAAATTAGGTACAACGGGCAACTCCATTCGCTGAGGAAGACCATAGGAAAGTTGGATCTTAATTGCTGAAATAATAATAATAATAATAATACTCCTTATTTGTAGAGCACTTTTCAAAAACAAGTTACAAAGTGCTTTAACAAGTGTAAAGAATAATACAAAAAAAAAAAAAAACAAGATAAGAGCATGAAAAATTAATATAAAATTAGTAAAATACAATAAAATAAAAGGGATAAAATAAAGTCAAATAAGACCTGATTTCCTCGGGCAGGCTGTTCCAGAGCCTCGGGGCCCTGACAGCAAATGCTCTGTCCCCTTTAGTTGTCAGTCGAGACTCTGGAACAGACAACAGACCTCTGCCCGAGGATCTCAAGGTACGTGCTGGTGCGTATGGGACTAAAAGGTCAGAAATATAACAAGGCGAGAGGCCATGAAGAGCTTTAAAAGTGATCAATAGAATTTTAAAGTCAATTCTAAAACATACTGGGAGCCAGTGTAATGAAGCTAAAATAGGAGTAATGTGGTCATATTTCTTTGTTCTGGTTAAAAGCCTGGCAGCTGAGTTCTGGACAGTCTGGAGTCGATCAACAGATTTTTGGGTTAAACAGGTGAAAAGGCTGTTGCAATAATCCAGGCGTGATGAGACGAAGGCGTGTAAAATGGTCTCGGTATCCTTAATAGTTAACATAGATCGAATTTTAGCTATATTTCTAAGTTGATAAAAACATGATTGAACAAGCTTTGTGGTGTGCTGCTCGAAATTTAAATTACTATCAAACCAAACTTGATCAGTCGACTATTTAAAATAGAAATAGCATGGCTGCTGTTTTTCCTTGAGAGTCATTGTAGGGATATGTTTTTTTTTAGATGTTAGCATTTAGATGGTCTTTGTTTCAGACTAGGGGGCTTACTTTACAATACTACAGAAAACCCAGGAACAGAACAGAATAGAATAGATTAGTCAGTGATTATATCCTAAATCATTCCCTACCTGGTTTCCCGTATTTACTTTCTGATATTTTACTGGAGTGTAATATAAGTTAAATATCTAAATTCTCACAATGAAAACAAAAAGTTTAGTGTCTATAGCATGCACACTGCCTTTTCCTGAATATCCCTCAATGCAATGTTTTGCCTTGTAAAACTACATTTCATGGAATCATACCTTTGTAATAATTTCCTTGCAAGTTTCCCTAAAATAACTATGCAGTTTGTCATTATATATAGCTAAAATAGAAAAACAATTGTTACACTTTCACATAATTAATTCCAATTAAATTCTAAGCTAGTGTTTTTTAGTCAGTGCGCAGCAGGTCAGCTGAATATGCAAAAATGTGCACAGGCATGCATACAATTACACAAGAATGGAGTTTCCAATAATAAATTAATGAATATTTACATGGAGCAGTTGTTACATGAGAATTACTCTTACAAATAAACTAATATCACTGTCTGTATGCTTTTTTTAAATGCTCTCTATTATTAGTATCAAATTACATACAGTAGTTAGTTCCAGTAAACATTCTAGAAATTATAAGGAAAAACCCATAAACCCATAAAATGAAGTGTTATCCTATGTCATTAACATTAAAGTTGGGCAACGCTACACATCAATGATGATACAAATTATGTGGAGCCATAAATATCCTAAACTCTCAATCTTATTATAAACTATCCAGTGGGAATGGTGAATTAGTGAACAATGGAGTGATTTTGGGCACATTCATTCACTGTCACTATGATGATTGAAGGTACAAGAGGCTCCATAACACAATGTAAATCGGGTTCTTCTCACGCATGTATGCTCTTCAGCAAACTGGATGCCTTCATCTACGACGCTGCAGTGCTGAACTATATGGCCGGCAGAGACGAGGGCTGTAAGCTGGTCACCATCGGAAGCGGCAAGGTGTTCGCCTCCACCGGTTACGGCATCGCCATCCAGAAAGACTCGGGCTGGAAACGAGCTGTGGATCTGGCCATCCTCATGCTGTTTGGAGACGGTAAGGACTAAAATTACAATTATTTTATTTGAATGAAGAAGCCGTATAAATATCCTAGAGCCAAAGCAATAATAATGAAATGTCTAGTTTGCTTTGATTTTGATATACACTAACAATCGAAGGTTTCATAGTTGCTGTTGTTGATTGCCACTTTACTATCATATTCATACTTTTTTTTTGAGATAATGGTTTGTGTCCTATCCTTAAAGTGAATATCCCATAGATAGACATTATTTAACCATCTAGAAGGTGTAATGTTTACAGTACAACCAAATAGATCCACTATTTGTAAGAGATTGTAGCCGTAATTCATTTCATTCAGCATAAACAATAATTCACTTTCAGTGTTGAATCACAGTTTCAAGAAAAGCACAATGATCATTCAGGTTACACTCTCATCAGTGCAGTAAGGTTGGGGGCGCAGAGTCATTGAAGTAACTGTGAAGGAGCTGTGACTCAGAGGGTGGTCGGTGCTTGTTACGGTGACAACCCAAGTGCCTGCTGGTAAATCCCAGCAGTCAATGAGGCTGTGGAGCTGCAGGATGAGGCCTCCTGACTCAGGTTGGCACAGTTCAATCCTTAATCAACAGTGTAGATGGGAAAGTTTGAGTGTGGAAGGAGTTTGTTTATTTGGTAACTCGGGAGGCTCTGGCAGCAGTTTTGGCAAGAACAGGAAATTCTGACCTTAACTGAAGATAGGCAGAAGGAGCTCTGTGGACGACATCAGTCTTGAAATGCTGAAGCCACTGGGTATTGTCGGACTGTTGTGATTGACATTTTTCTACAGTGTCTTCGTGGATTATAAGAACCGGGCCCACAGGCTGGCAGACAGGGGGAGGTGGACTCATTCTTTAAACAGGGAAACCTCGACACTTTAGCATCTTAACAAGGACAACATTTGAGAGCTTTCTGATATGAACCATATGTTCACAGTCGATTTCACAGTTGGTCCACACATTACTATACCAGTTTGACATGTTAAATGTAAAATCCCTCTCCTGACTAGACTAGTGGATACTTGTCTGATAGCTAGTAAGCCAACTTAGAAGAAGCTCAGGCTAGGAGTTTTAAAAGTGCATAAATAATTTAAACCCTTTACCAACTCCACTGGCTGATAAGTGATGTGCAGGAGTAGGCAACTGTGAGTGTTTATAAGCAGCGCATGTCTTTATAGAAAATATCACCGTAGCACTGTGACATCAGCTTATCAATTCAACACTGCAGTGGCAGTATATCTCTGATTACACCTCCACCATATCATGTGAATATTTATATAGTGAAGAGGTTGAATCCTGGGTCCAGTTAGTGTACAGCAAGGAGAAAGCACAGCAATGCTCTCAATTTGTAGGTCGGGTTTGAGCCCCAGCTGTTGTTGTGTGTTTTGGGTAGTGACCGAGAGAAGCCAGCAGGGTGTCTGGCATCACTCTGAGAGAATGACGAGGTCAGTGATCCATGAGGGCCTCTGTATCGAGCTGCTGCTCCGTCATGATGAGAGGACTGAGCCAGTTGAGGTGGTTTGAGTACATGGTTAGGATGCCCATTTGGCACCTCTGCTAAGGGGAGCCGGTTGTGGCATAAAATGACACAGAGGTACATACACACTAGAGGGCCATTTCCCATCAGTCTGGACAGATAATGAGACGCAGATGATGAGACACAGATAATGAGACAGTAGACCCTCAAGTACAGACATGTGAAACTGAACTTAGTAGTTTGATGTCCTGGAGATGAAGTGAGCCTCTTTAAACGCCGTGCAATATGATGTTAAAGTTTACAAAATATTACAGGAAACCATCTGTGACATAGGTTTTATTTTCTTAAAGTTTTAATTTCTGCTATTAAACAAATCAGAATTCTTATTAAAAAAGCTTTTTCATTTGATACCTGTTATCACGTGATTAGAATTACACACTGAGGTCACATGATAATAACTGGACTGTTCACTAGATGACGCGCGCATGAACATGCATTAATATACCACCGTGTGACGGTATGCTAATAAATGTTCATAGGAGCATTTTCTAGTGTGCCGACTCTATTTTTCTTTGGTCCAGTACCTAGTATTCATTGCGTTTGGATGTGCGTGCTTTGGTATTCTATTTAAATAACTGAACTGTTGTCAAAACAACTGAGCAGACATTGGACGAAAGCCACAAGATGTGTTTGAAAGCTTCAGAAAAAGTAAATGGACCTTGAGATGAGAATTATTTAGTCAAACGTCTATTTCCAAGGTCAAGAAGGAACCTTCAAGCTTAAAATATTCAAATGTGGCTTCTTTTATTATAGGCTTACTGTAGTACAGAAATATAATAAAAATAAAACAAATATAGTAGAAATAAAAATTCACATTGGATCAGACTTGGTCTAGAGAGAAAGGTTAGTAACAGTCACAGTAACTGTCCATCCATCCATCCTTTAGCTATACCCACTTATCTTTTAGAAGATCGGGGGACTGGAGCCGATACCAGCTGACATTTGGTGAGAGGTGGGGTTCACCATGGACAGGTCAGCAGTCAATCACAGGGCTGACACATATAGACAGACCTACGGGCAATTTAGAGTCACCAATTAACAAGACGTTTTTTTGTATTATGGGAGGGAACCGGAGCACCCGGAGGAAACCCGCACAGGCACAGGGAGAAAATACCAACTCCGGACATTTTTCTATTTTCACATTCTATGGCCCCTATAATGAATCAATTCATTAAGAAAATAATCAGAAGATTAGTCAATAATTAAACTAATCGGTTGTTGCAGCACTATCCGCACACCTCAGTCTTCACAGTGGCACCCTCTAAGAAGAGCTACAAGACTTTGGTGGGAAAACTACGTCTCTGCTTGCCCAGTTGCCACAGTGGCCGTTTAACAGTTGTTAGAAAGTGACAGAAAATGGACGGATGAGCATTGTAAAGCATATTTGTTGTTGACTGACAAGTAAGATCGTTTTTATGTTTGCTGTCAGAAATGTAATAAATGTATTCAAACTGTCAAAGCATTACTCTTATTGTATTATCTATTTCAGTGTATTCTGTACTTCCTTCATTTATGACAGGTGAAGAGGTCCTGCACACAGAGAAGGAATGAAGTTCTATGGGGAACAGGGATGTGGAATAAAAGATTTTATGTAACACCGGCCTTGGTTTCCTTAGCACTTTTTACATTTTGCATCTCGGGAAAATCTGTAAGCATGTAAAAGAAATGATTGTCCCTGATATGAATCATTGCCTTTGGAGAATACACCTACAGCAGCACTCCACCTCCAGAGACAGTATGTGCTCCATACGGCTCACCACCACCTGCCAGATGATATACAGCACGCTGACACATGCCTTCGACATGCGATCACTTTCCGTTCTTGTGTGTGTGATGGGTCACTGCAGAGAGAACATTCACCTTGGATCAGATCTTTAGGAGCCAAATGGATTCAGACCTCGACATACACTGCTGAGTGATGTACACTGAAGTGGCAGTGTCTGCATATATGTATATATATCTTGTACACATCTTGCATACGTGTGTGTATGCAAGATGTGTGTGTGTTTGTGTACATGGGGTGTGTTTGTGACATGTGACTGTGTGCATGCTTGAGTGTGTGTTCCCCAAAGATCAGACATGTCTGCATAAATTTTATTAATGGGAGTAAAGTCTTATTGTTCTGTCAGCTGCATACATGAGGCCAACACAGCAGACATTACCTCTCATTACTTCATGTAGACTGTTTGGCTGTCAGCACACAAAGGTTTGTCCAGGTTAGGAGATCAGACTCATTGTTGTATGGTCATATCTGTCCCGTCCTGTTAACAGTCAAGATATGAACATGTGTCATATGTGCCGTGGGAGAGGACCACTATATCTGAACAGATCCAGGATCAGGAGGGGGGGTGGGGGATGGGAAAGATGATGTGTAAGAATGGAGGGAGGATTAGAAAGCAGAGAATGATATATATATAATATAGATTTAAATTACATTATAGATTCTGCTTATTGATCCAGTTCCAGTGATTGGATTTGATTCATTTTGTTGGGTCGAAAACAAGTACATACAGATTTACAAGGATAGAGTGTCTATCCTGCCTTATTTTCTTCAAAATCTGATCAGAACGATCAATAGTGTCAGAGTAAATGCTGACACTGGAACTGGTTCAAAAAGGACACCAATTTGAAGTTCCCATTGCTGGTCATCCCTAGGAATTGTTTGTTTCTTGGTTTGTTTGTTGTTTTTTTCAAAATCTGCAAGTATTGCTGGGGCGTTTTTTTCGAAGACATTACAAATCAAATAGGCCTTTTTCACAGTAGCCATTTTGACTTGTCATACTAGAAAAAACAAAGGTGCTCCTAGTGAGATAGGTACTTTCATTTCTGTCCTTTGAAATGCAGTTATCACTAACTCTTTACACTTTCTTATTGAAGTTTGACATTTTGAAGAGAATACATATTCACTGTCTTTCCGAGAATTAGATGAGAAAATTGATACCACTCTCACGCCTGTGAGTTAATTACGGATCTGGAGGCAATTATCTGAGCTAGCTTAGCATAAAGAATGGAAGCAAGGGGAAATAGTACCCCGGCTCTGCCCATAGTTTAAAACTACACCTACCAGCACCTCTAAAGCTACTTAATTAACCCATTGTATACCATTTCTTTAATCTGTTCACAACCTGTACAACAACCTGACTCCCTTGAGTCGTCAAACTGAAGTTGCCAGGCTTGGTACCATTGTACAGAGACCTATACTAAAAGCTGTGCTCACCAATTGGATCTGGCAACCTGAACTAAGCTAACTGTCTCATGGCTCCATCCCTGTAGTTAAAGCACAGACATGAGAGTGGTAACTTATCTTCTCATCAAACTCAAACGTTGAACAAATTTTTTCATGAACAAAATAATTGACAGCCAGACGCCTCAAACTTTTTTTGTAAGGTGCACATCAGCATGATAACAACTGATGACCAATCACCGTAAGACTGCCACCTAATAGTGCACTTTCTTTTCACTGAGGTTCATTTCGGTAAGTCATAGTTAAACCTAGTTAACAGCTGACACAAACGCACACACTCATCTGAATAAACAAAATCTATACACAAAACACTGTTATGCAAGCAGTGGGAAAATATAAACCCCCTTCATCACACACACAAAAAACAGACTATCGGTGCAGATCAAACAAATCTCTCTGGACGTGTCCTCCCCCCTTAGCAGTCCCCCCAGAGATGTGGAACTAAGGGGGACACATTTTAAGGCGGAAACGTTCATCACATGACCACTAACACTTCCTCCCTGAGGACTTTAAAGTCCCAGCAGGCAGGTTTTTCCCACAACAAGGAAGGGATAGCCTTGCATAAACAATCCTTAATGAGGAAGATCCTTGTGGGGACGTTCAGTCAGAATAATGCAACTTGACGTTCATTGCACGTACATGAGACCTGAGCTGTTTTTGGCTTGCTTTTGTACTCACACCAACATGGTCAGACACATATGGGCAAACTCATCCAAGTGCATAGGTCACACAAACAGGAACACAAACTGTAACAGCAACACATCGGTACAGTAACCTGTATATGTGTGTCTCTCCTGTCCTCCAGGTGACATGGAGGAGTTTGAGGCCCTGTGGCTGACGGGCATCTGCCACAATGAGAAGAACGAGGTGATGAGCAGTCAGCTGGATGTGGACAACATGGCGGGGGTCTTCTACATGCTCGGGGCTGCCATGATTCTGTCATTACTCACATTCATCTGTGAACATTTGTTCTACTGGCAGCTGCGCTTCTGCTTCATGGGCGTGTGCTCCGGACAGCCTGGGTTCACCTTCTCCATTAGCAGAGTGAGTGAGCACGTGTTTTATTTTAGGTCTGACCTTTGTCCTCCTGACAGAAAGATCACAGGAGAGGTTGTTTTAAAACCACTGGCTGTGGTTGAGGTGTATCGAGTCAGTCAGCTGGATATGATGACTCACCTAACTTACCTGTGGCTTTTCTAACCCAGGCAGTTGTTAAACAACAAAACACAACTCAAGAGCATCCTGTGCTATACGGGGAAAAACAAAATCTACACTATTTGAAAATTAAGAAATGTTTGTTGGGAATAATTGCACTGATGATTGCAAAAAAAGTATTAGAAAAAGGTGTTAAATATGATAAGCTCTTTACAGAACAGTTAAACGGCTAACCAGTGAAATCTATGAGGTGTAACTGACTGCATCTACTGGCGTACAACAGACAACAGACGTTTACTAAAAGTTAAGGTGTAGGTATGCTCAAAAGAACCACGTCTGAAGGCTAAAGTGCTTATAGCTGTTGTGAACGGCCGCACTCGAGGGTGGGTTGGATCACCTGCTGTGACAGAGAGGGGCAAGATGCAATAATCATCTCTCAAAGGCATTCTTTGTGTTGCACTCATTTTTACACACAAAACTAATTAGGCTAAAAATGAAAAAAAGAGCTTGAGAGAGAAGCCTAACCCTGTTGTCCTAACTTTGTCACCTCCACACACCTTTAGGGCGTGGAGGCTGTGGCTAATCACAGCACGTTAGTGGACGTGATTGTCGCCTTGTCAATTTTGGAAAGTTACAAAAATTGTCGGACGTAGTAGTGTGTGTGGTGGTGGTGGTGGTGGGGGGGGACATTCGGTTAAAGGCAACTTCAACTCAGAATTTTACTCAAGTCAAAACTATGTCACTAACTTTTCTGACTTCATCAAGGCCAAGAGTGAACACCTAGAATGTGAATAGTCTACTTAAGCATTGCATCAGCCTCTTCACCCATTAAGGACAGCAGAAAAACAACCAAACTCTGATGTGCACATGTTGCCTGGACTGACAAGTTTTATTGCTTGTGATGACCATCGCTATCAATATGTTGGTGGACAACGACACCAAGCAGCATCAGCATGCACGCATCACTTAAGCCTCAGTCCCTGACAGGGTTAAAAACGCCCACAGTCCACTGTTTGTAAACTTCACGTTGCTGAAATAAAAGCTACTTACTATGCCGCACATTCTCAGCTGGTGACCTGAAGGTGTGTTTGTGTGGATTTCATAGAGCTCATCTCAGCGTGATTATGACTCTGTTCAAATGGGTCACATAACAAGGTGTCACAGTGTTATTGATGCAGGCTATTTAGGTCCATATAAATAATCACTTGAGGTGTAAGTCATTTGCATAATGTTACCTTTTAAGAGTGGGGTGGGGGTTGTCATTGCATGCAAATTGTCTCTATTATTATTTGTCTGAGAACAGGACACCAGTGTTTATGTGTTTGGTGGTAGGGCTGGAGGTGTTTCTAATTGCAGTGTCATTTGGTTGACACTAACTCATACTAACCTGACAGAATGTAAAACAGGTCTGGCCTTGAGCACTTCAGCTACACACACTCCCTCTGTCTTTGCAGTTTGAGGAAACTAATATTTTTATGCAAAACATTGCATGGTAGCTTTAAGATTCACTCTGAGCTCTAACATGCTTGAGACTGATTTAACTTGTTGCAACATTCATTTTAAGAGCATACACATTTCAAGAGTGGTTCTAAAGCCAGATCTATTTTATACCTTTCCATGCCTGGTTTAGAACTCAAGTTGTGGTGTGACAAAGAAAAGATAAAAGAAGAAAAGATGTGCAGCATTCAAGACAATTGCAGTTCATATATTGTGTATAGAAATTGTAAGGATGGACAAGTGATGAGACTACAAAGGGCTAATAAAATACAGAGGAAGAAAAAGAGATCAGTTAGTGAGAGTCATGAGAAAGAATAAAACTGGTAGCAGGACAAAGGCACAGCGACACAGCAGTGTGCAAGTAACCTCTGTTCCATTACCTTTCACAGCAGCTGTAGTAGCAATAGATGTAGAGAGATAAAAACAGACATTCCCATTGGAGCGTCTGCCGCTCACTTGAGCACCCGGAAACGGAGATAAAACAGACACAAAGAGAGAATGGAGGCATAAAAGAAAAGAGGGGTGACGATTCAGATTCATGAATGTAGCTCGGCGACGGGGAAAGTGACTAAGAGACAGACAGAGACTGTTTCTGACAAGTTGACGCCTTTGAGGAATGCTGGCCCGCACGCTGGCTGGTGGGTAGTGCGTCCTCGACCTTTCGGATTTGGCTGTCGCCTCGAACACTGATTCCCTCAGCGCCCATTTGAACACGCTTGCTTGACTTCACTCGCAAAGTCTTTCCCCTCTCTTGAAAATCCTGCTCTTACCAACCAACCTAAACAAACACATGCTGATGGATAATGACATTTTGAATAGATGATTGTTAATTCACGTGTCTCTGATATTGACAGAAAGTCAAGCAAACTTTTACAAAGTGATTCATTTCCTTGAAAAAGTTTTTTTCACAAAAGGAAAAAGAATAAAACAATCCTGGTAGAAAGCCAGCGGCACCAGTGTCAGCTGAATTTAAATTACATTGATTAAACCTATTGATTGGTGGTCACAACCATGAGCTTACTGCACCCTTGTGTCAAGGCTTTGATCGGCTCATTCCCCTCTCCCTCAGTTCTCTTTATCTGAGGTGGAGTGCTGAGCAGCAGCTATGAGGGTCCATGCTGTTCCCCTGAGAAAAGTAATTTATGAACTCAGCCCCTATTACTGTTTAATAGCGTGTAAACAAGAGGGTGGTCAGAGAGAACATGGCAATGCATTAACCTCTCTCTGCCTCTGTCTGTCTCTGTTCGCCTCGCTCTCTCTGTCTGTCTTTCTGTCTATGTGTCTGGTGTTTGGCTTCTTCTCTCTAACATTAAATTCCCTTTGTTTCTTGATTCCTTACTGCTGCCATACATTTTACTGTTGTTTTCTTCTCACCTGGGCTTCATACCTTACCACTCTCACTCGTATTCTTTCTTCCTCCCATGGCCTGTCTCACCCTCTCTTTCTCTCTCTACCTCCCTTTTCTTCTAATTTTCACACTCCAGGGTATCTACAGCTGCATCCATGGGGTACAAATCGAGGAAAACAAGTCAACCATAGACTCACCCTCGGCCACCATGAAGAAGAACATGAACAACACCCACTCCAACATCCTGCGGTTGCTCCGCACTGCCAAGGATATGACCGCCGTCCCTGGCATTAACGGCTCTCCGCATGCCGCTCTGGAGTATAGCCACAGCGGTCGCGACTCGGCTATCTATGATATCCAGGAGCATCGGCGCAGCTTGGTGGGTCACCCTGTAGACTGCAAGCCAGCGCCACCCTACCTACCAGAGGACAACATGTTCAGTGACTACATAAGCGAGGTGGAGAGGACTTTTGGCAACTTGCCCCTGAAGGACAGCAACCTGTACCAGGACCATTACCTGCACCACCACCCGGCCTCGGCTCTGGGTATGTCCGGCCCCCCGCCTAATAGGCCGCGTAGCTTAGGCAGTGCTAGCTCGTTGGAGGGGGGCATGTTCGATTGCGACAGTTTAGGGGGAGGGGTAGCGCCCATCTTTACCACCCAGCCCCGCCCCTCCATGACTCACAGGAATACCAATAAATTTGACCTGATCGCCGGCCACACCCCTGCGGATTCCAACCAGGGTGGGTTCAAGGGAAGCAATGTGTACGGGAGGTTTTCTTTCAAAGGAGGCGCCTCCAGCACGGGGTTCATCGGGGGTCACGACAGGTACTGTGGTGGGGGTGGGGGAGGCTCGGGGGGTGATGATGGGAACATTCGCTCTGATGTTTCGGATATCTCCACGCACACTGTCACCTATGGCAACCTGGAGGGCAACAACAAGCGGCGTAAGCAGTACAGGGACAGCCTGAAAAAGAGGCCAGCCTCGGCCAAGTGCAGACGGGAGCAGGACGAGATAGAGCTGAGCGGCTTGAGGAGGAGAGCCCACCACCACACCGTCCACCACCACTTCCCCCACGGGCCTCAGGCACACCGCACGGTCTCACCTCCCCTGGAGCGGAAGAGGGGAGGAGGAGGGGGTAATTCTTCACCTTACTTGTTCCGCAAAGACAAAGAGAACCTGAGGGATTTCTATGCGGACCAGTTCCGCTCCAAGGAGGGCAAGGCCAAGTGGGAGCAAGAGGGTGGAAGTGGAGGAAGTGGTGTGGGCGGTGGTAGCGGTGGTGGTATCTGTAAAAGCTTAGTACCTGTAGAAGACTTCCTCAAAGGTAAAGGCAAGACACTGGAGTGTAAAGGTGGGCTTGGCTCAGTGTCGGCAGGGCAGCAGGCCCACACCTGCTGGGAGAAGGGGGTTTCTGGGATAGGAGGAGGGGGCATAGCAGGGGGTGACTGGGAGTGTCGTAACTGTCACAGTGTGTGTCACCACGGTGGTGGCGGCACGTGCCCAACTAGCGGACTTGGGGGTAGCAGCAGTCGCCCCAGCTCCGCTAGCTGCAAACGCTGTGACTCCTGTAAGATCCAGCCAAGCAACCTTTACAACATCAGCGAGGATAATAACATGGTGTTCGCTGGAGGGAAGAGTAGCATAGGACCCAACCAAACACAAACTCAGGCACAGCGCAGGAAGCTAGGGCCAGGTGGGAGGGTGTTACGGAGGCAACACTCCTATGACACATTTGTGGACCTGCAGAGGGAGGGGGCAGGCCGCATGGGAGGGGTTGGCGGGGGTGTTGGGGGGCAGTTTCCCCAGCCCCGAAGTGTGAGCTTGAAAGACAAAGACCGCTTCATGGAGGGCCCCAGCCCTTACGCTCACATGTTTGAGAGGTATGCAGGTGAAAGAGAGTCTTCCATGTTCGGTGGAATAGGCGGGGATAGGGCAAAAGGTGGTTCCTCCTTCACTTTGTTCCGTGGAGGTGAAGGTGGGTTGCATCAGCGGTCTGTGGGGGAGAGAGACCTGAGGGACAGAGATAGAGCTATGATGGGAGGTGGGGGCTGTGGTGGTGGTGGTGGTGGTGGTGGCAGAGGGGCCGGGACTTACTCCTTGTCTAAATCTCTCTACCCAGATAAGGTGAACCAGAACCCCTTCATCCCAACCTTCGACGACGACCAGTGTCTATTACACGGTGCCAAACCGTACTACATCAAAAAGCCACAGACGCAGCAACAGCAGCAGCAGCAGCAACTTCTCAACAACAGTCGAGGAGGAGGGGACTTCCGCGGCTCCATTGGAGTGACTTCCTATTTACCTGCATCCGCCACAGCTGGGGTGATGTCCAATGTGGCCCCCCGTTTCCCCAAAGATCTGTGTGTGGGCGGGGTGGGAGGGCCCATGGGGAACCACCACGGGGCCAGCAAGCTACTGCCTGTGGGCAGGGACACGTTAGGTTTGGGGCAGGGACAGAGACCCTTCAACGGTGCCAGCAATGGGCACGTTTATGAAAAGCTCTCCAGCATTGAGTCAGATGTCTGAGGGTAAAGATGGAGGAAGGAAGAGAGAGAGAGAGAGAAGATGAAGTGGGTGAAGAAAAGAGAGGGACAGAGAGATAACATACAGAGGAAAAAAGAGAGAAACAGCACAGGCTGATGACCTCTCTGTGGAAGAAAATGAGGAGACACGATTCTGTGTGTTGTTCTCACTCCACTAAATGGAAAGAATTTGGACGATGCACAGAGGCCACTGCAGGCTAAGCTGTGGTGAAGTCCGGCGGGAGACAAGTTTTTAATGAGAAGAGAGGATTCTGGTGCTGCTCCGACGCTCAGAGAAAGATAGGGATGGAGGGAAGGAGGGGGGAAAAGTGAAATAAAATCTCCAGTCTCTGCTCTCTTCACATGCTTATTGTCTTTCCCTTCCTCCTGCAGTTCTTTAACACCAAAACATTTTGTTTAGCAACAGAAATACAATCATGAATGAGAAATCAACACTTCTGTTGAAGTAACAGGGTAAACTAATAATAATTGTATTGATAATGTTGATAATATTATTGAATATTATTCCGGTGTTTAATGATGATCGATTTGGATTGTTTTTCAATTACATTTATTTAAATAGTTCATGTTACATATTTGTATGATGTTAATTCTTTCTTAGCTTACCAATATTACAGGATACTGGTAGACCAGTTTTTTTGGGGGGGGGGGTTCCTGTAATTTGGACTCTTCTTTGCTATTAATTCTTCATGTTTGATTTTTGATACTTTTCTTACTTTTGAGTGCCGTGAAGTGTATGTGAAAGGCATGACTTGCTGAGTACATTCTATGTACTTAATACATTTGCAAAGAAGGTATTTTTTTTCAGCTGCAGAAGCAACATCATCATACTGATTTGCCATTTACGCTAGTTTTTCTTCTCGGCAGTACCAAATGGGTCTCACATTTTGAGCTGGATGTGCCTTAAAGGATTATTATTGATTTTCCACACATAAAATCTGTTGAATCTGTTCCACCTGAAATCAATTAGCCAATTGATTTGAGAGTGATAATATACCTTAAAACATCTGGTATGAAGGTAGAGTGTAATGAGCATAACAAACTTTTAGGCATTTAACAGATGTAATAATACAAAGTAAAACATAGAAATCTCTGCATTAGAGGAAGCTTAAATTCCTACATAGATCCCAAACAATAAAAGCAGCCAATGGCAGGATCACAAGGGTTAAAACCACAGTGCCATGATAAATAAACATTCCTATTCCCCCCAAAAGTCAGGTACAACCTACAACACAGCCGTCCCGCTGTATGTGAAGAAATATGATTTAGAAATAAAATATGGAAGCTTCTCCTTGTACTGTTAACTACACAATTAATCTAACTACATGTCAATTTCTTTAAATTGTTCTAATAAGCTCAGTAAGCTTTATCACTCCACATCTCCTCAAACCCCACTGTTCATTTTTTGCATAACAGATGACCCAGGAACCAACTATCCATTAAATACACTGAATGACATCCAATGTCCGCTTGTTGCTCTCATTGCGTTTCATTGGGTCTGACTCAATTGGCCGTGACAGTTTTGCTGTTCAGGACAGGAACATAATGGACTCTCTGTGAGGCCTCCGTTGCTGGGATGAGCAGCCTGGCACAATAATTATTTCATGATTATGGCTATAAACCCTGCCTGCTGTATTAGATGGTCACATTTGAATGATGGGAGGAAGTGTTGAACATTTTCTCTCTGCTGGTGTAAAGGACCACAGCGGGCTCATAATTTCAACCACACTAGTACACAGTCCAAGAATCTCATGACTTAGTCTTAAAATTATTCATAACTTACTTTACTCTTAGCATGTCATTTTGTTATTTTTCTAATAAAGACAAGTGTTTCAAGCTTGTAAATGGGGTAAAAAGTGCAAAATATTTGCACTCACTATACAGCTACTGAATACTGTTTTAAAGGAATAGTTTGACATTTTGGGAAACATTTTGCTTCCTTGCCGAGAGTTAGATAAGAAGATTGATGTCACTCTCATGTCTGTACAGTAGTTAGGAAGCTCCAGTCGGTTAGCTAAGCATAGCATAAAGACTGTAAACAGAGGGAAACAGCTATCCTGGCACTTTTCAAAGATCATCTAAAGCTCACTGGTCAAGCGTTATATGTTGTTTGTTTAATCTGTGCAAAAAAAAACTGTAAAAATTACATTTTGTAGGGATGTTTACATGTCTTTATTGTCATCACCATGATGTGGCCAGTCAAGAAATAGCCCGACAGTTTTTTGGACAGATCAAACAAGTGACCTGCGGAGGTGCTGGTGGGCATATTATGTTGCCTTTGGACAGGGTAGTTGTTTCCTCCTGTTTCCAGTCTTTTCTTCCAGGCTAAGCTAAGCTAACAGGCTGCTGGCTGTAGCTTCATATTTAACACAAGTATGAAAGTGGTATTGATCCTCTCATCTATCTCTATTTCCCAAAATGTCAAACTGTTCCTTTAAGAGAACCAGGTTAATATAAGTCTATACCTTTGTGCACTCAGTGATCATTTCTCCCATAATGTTGTTCAAGCTCACACCTTTCACCAAACAGAACATAAAAAATTATTTCAGTATGTACTGTAACCTTGATTTCTCCCTCCACCGGACCATAATCTCTATCACATGCTGAGATTTTGATGAAGGAAAGAATTTGCCCTTAAGTCTAAGGTCCTATGTGGAATGTGTCAGCTGCAGACATCTGAGGAGAAAAATAATAAAAGAGGAATAAACAGCATCCTTAAAGCAGGTGGTACATTTAGTAAAAAGCTTTGCCTTTGTTACTGATGGATATGTAGTTATTTTGATCAAAAGGCAGGTCCCAAATCCACAACATTAGACACACAGGGCATCGCTGCTCTAACACATTAAACATAGACAAACATAGAAGTTATGTTTAATTTACAACATCTCTACCATTAAAATATTGTAAGTTACAATTTAAGACAACTATTCTCCTTTTCCAGTTATTTGTTGTCACTTAAACCTGATGTTTAGTCATTTTGCCAAACCAAATTTTACTGCCTAAGCACAATCTGACTGAATGGGTTCAATATTGATTTTGTTGTACATCCCAGTCAAAACTTTAGAAGACTTTCCTAATCTTGCTTGACAAGTCAGTATGTATGATATTAGGGGTCTCTAGTGTTTGTGAGGACTTGCATGTATACACTTAGTTTTTTTCTTCATTTGTGTTTTTTATTCTTAACTTGTAGCCCAGAAAAAAATGGGTGTTTTTGAACAATATTTGAAATTTTTTCAATTTCATTGGTACTGATGATCCATGTAGTACTGTAGGTGTGTGTGTGTGTGTGTGTGTGTGTGTGTGTGTGTGTGTGCGTGCGTGCGCGCGTGCTTGTTTGTGCAAATGAAGACACCAATATAACAGTCTAAATTTAGGTTATGAACTACTTAATTAAACATGGCTAAATTTTATTAAAAGTTTCACTAGAAATAGAAAAGAATTTTTATTGTTAATGTTAAACAAAGATCAGTTTTCTTGACAGTTCGTGTAAATGCTTTTAAACAAGGTTGAGGTCTTGGTTAATACATTCATTGTCACTGAAGAAGCCTTCATCTCAACTACTTTTCCTATTTTTTCCTTTAAATATCTCAGTACATTTCATTATTTCTGTTATTGTATGTGCCTGAATACATACGCTTAATTACCTCTGTGTGTGCTCATATGGAAGAGAGACAGAGTGTGTGTGAGAGATAACTGTTTATTGTACTTGTATTATAAAACTGTATGTAAATACTTTACCTCACGCTCATGGACTTTTGATAAAAACTGTACAAACGGCAGAGAATAGATCTATTTGGGATAAATCTTTGATTCGTAGGTCCCCTTGCAAAATTGCTTTTGTACCGACTTCAGGCCAAGATATGTGCAATCATTTATTATTACACAGATAAGTAAAGGTTTGTTGATGTGTTTTGATTTTCTTTTTGGATTGAGTCAAAGACTCAAAGGCTAAGAAGGTTGTTTTCTCAAAGGAAAAATTGTAAAGCACCATCATTCATTGGTACACAGAAAGCACAAACGATTATCTATTGCCTTTTTACAAGGTAGTCTCGTTTTTTTTTCCTCTTTGGCTAATCTTCTGTTTTTGTTTTTTGCCAGAGCAGATCGAACAACTCCACCACTGAGCTGTACAGATTGTGAAAAATGTACATACGACAAAAATCTAGTTCACCCTCGCATTTTTTGTATGGAGAGAAATTACTTGTGTGAAGAGAGTATTTCAAATTTGATTGAATATTTAGTAATATTGAAAATGAGATTAAACACAGTCAATGTGAAAATAAGTGCTGAGAAATATTATTCTTCTGTCTCTTTGGAATAAAAGTGTTGAGTATTAATAAAAAATAAGAAATCTCAAAACTGACTTGTCTTGTTCTTTTATCCCCCCCCCCCCCCCCAGCAATTTGTTGTGTCCACAGGTTGCCAGCAAACAGCAGGACTCCTCTCATTGTGTCGTGTTTATATTTGACATTCAAATGCACTGAGTACATGTTGTAACAGATCATGTTATTATGTCCCATAGGTCATCAGTGGATCTTGGTTAATGGCCGCAGTGTCATCTTCTGCTGTTTCATCGCATGTATTTGTTTGCTTCTCTCCATGTTCTCAGAAACAGGCCCCTCTCTCCTCATGTGAGAGTGATGTTACCCACCATGCTGGAAAAGTGTTTTTTGTAGACCAAAGACAAAATGAATAAATAGGCTTGAGGATAAAAAGTGGTGCGAGATAGGGGGTGGGGTTGGGCAGGGGTATTGAGGGAAGGAAGAAGTGATGCAAACTGAACCGAGCAGCAGAGATCAAAGCCCCCCAACCCCACCCCCACCCCCCAAAAAACCTCACTCCCCCTCACTCCTCAGACTCTCTCTTTACTCTGAAAGCCTTGTCCAGCAACAGGAGTTATTTAAAGAAACCTGCAGGTTTGAAAATGTACCAATGCCTTGTGTATAGATTCGGTGGGAGAATTTTAACATCTGCAGTCCCGGATGCTGCTGAGAACGAGGTGAGGCGGTACAAGTAATCTTTTAATCAGTTTTAGCTCGTGCTTCTTTAAAAAAAAAATTGTTACTATTTTTTCTTTCAGCCGTCTATTCTGCTTACTTGTTCGCTCCTTACACACAACCCAACAACCTCCGGATGCATTGCAACACATGTAACTACTTCTTGACAATTAACTGTTACCTAGCAACTGGCTCTTTTTCCAGAGATGGGGAGGGATGAGGACGAGGAGGCGGGTGTGGTGGTGGTGGTGGTGGGAGGGGAGTGTAGAAAGAGAGAGAGAGAGAGAAAGAGAGATTTATACAGTATCCCCACAGCATCTTAACTGGATTGGATGCAACAATGCATTGACAATACAATACCAAAATGGAAAGTACAGCCTGAGCTTAACGCCCACACATAGCAGCATAGGGAGGAGAGAAGAAGAGAAGTAAAGGGAGAGAAATAATGAGGAGGAGTGGTGGTTGATGTACAGATTACAGTATGATGGAGGGAAAAAAGGGGGATTGAACCCATGCAAGGGAATCACAGGGAGACAGAAAGAGGACTTGACAAGCGGCGAGTGTGCAGACGCAGGTTGAAAATGAGAGAAAGTGGGTGGGGGAATGGGGGGGGGGCAACCTGCAGTATGTGGTGTGGATGACAAGTGGAGTTGTAGAATAGAATCTGAGAGAAACTGGTTGCTGTAGAAACACTTGGCAAAGTTTTAATGAAGGCATAAAGTTCGGATGCCTGTGCCCACAACATGCGCACACACGCACGATCGACATACACAAACAGTATACAGTATAATTATGTTAGCAGATAATAGGCACCCCCTGCTGGGCCCATGAGGACCGTTTCTGACTTCAACTGAGAAAAACACCGAAAAGATCAAGTCTCCATGAATCAGCTGTAATGTCACATCTGATTACGACAGCGGGTGAGCACTGACACCCTGTGGCAAAAACACGGCATCCCCTGGTTTCTGTATGTAGTTAATGACACGGTACACAGGCAGATGAGAGTATGGACTTGGCTTCTCTAACACTTTCCTGTCAGTTTGTTTATAACTGGAGTTCAAGGCGAAGGAACAAAGCACACTGATGATAGATGCTACTGGACAATCAAATGTAAATTTAAAGTGCTCATGAAGGTCTGGGAATTGTTTTTTCTTGTCTTGCAGACACTGGTGAAATCAAAAACGTTTTTTTTTGTATTTAGGAGTTTTTGTTTTACATATTTTTTTAAAGGGGGACTCCAGCAATTCAATATTGTACTTCCATGAATTTGGGACATTGAGAGAAGAAGAAGTAGAGGCCAAGATATACTGGTTCAAGCTTCAAAAACACTGGCTCCTACATTTCCTACAATGCAATGCAATAGCATCTTTCATTAGACCCTCTCTGGCTGGTTTATGACCCACAGCTCCAATTTGTATAATAATAAATTTTGAGCCTAATTGGTGATAACCCTGATTACATTGTCCAGGTAATTGTTTTTTAACTTTACAAAGCTCCTCCAGAGCCACAGAAGACATCATACAACTGCTTTCACAGGCTGAGTAGTACTCCTCGTGAAAGTAAACCAGACTTCATGTGAAAAATAGTGTCCCATAAAGGGAGTCCACTGTACATGTGACTTCTTGCCATGTCCTGTGAAACTGTTTGTTCTGCTTAAATTGTTTGTATATGGGAGACCCAACATGTTCAATATTAACTGAATACATAAGTCATAATTACATAAATAATCATATTGATATAAAGCCTACAGGCACAACATTTAATATGATCATGGAATTGGGAAAAAATCCGGGACATTTATTAAAAATCAGCCCATCCTGACCCTGCTTCTTCTCTTAATTGCAGATATTTTTAAAAAATGTAGACACTTTTTAAATTTTACTTGTATAAACTCACTTTTCATAACAAAGGCTTTGTCAATCATGGCAAACAGGGAAGAGCCAGTTATGTTTATTGATTTATTAAATTAATACTAAAAACGTCTCCATATTTGCTTATATGTCAAAAAATGAAAAGGACTAATCTATCTCCATGAGAAGTTAGCAACTCCCTCTGCTGAGGAAGGCCATTAGATGTGGTTGAAAGCTGGACCTTGAGTTGAGAATTTTTGTCAAGCTGCGGTTTCTAATGTCAAGAATGAACCTTCAAGCTAAAAAAAAAAATACAGCCAGGCCTAACCTACCTACATTTTGGTGTTGTGCAGAAAGAAGCCTACTGGAACTTATTGAGTTATTGTGTTAAAGGAGGACGTTTGTGTTTCTGTGTGTGTCCTGACTTTAAAATCAATCTGAGATTAAGAGCTGGACAACAAAATAGTGATAATCACAACAGTTTATTAAAGATATCAGTTAGGCCTACCTATTTACCAGTACAAACCCTAATCATCACTCCTGATCTCAGAGGACAGGCAGTGTCTGTGCAGGCTATCATATTATTCATTTACAAAAATGAAAGCTATAGACTACAATTTAAAAATTTATTTCTTACATTATAGGCTATATAATATTTGCAGAACGTGTTTGTGTGTCTCACACAGGGGCAGCCATAAACTTCCCCACTCTTCACTCCCCTCCATCAGTCAGCCTCTCTCTCTGAACCAGCTTCACTCCCATACTGGGGACTCTCACCAGTCTTCTGCTCACCACCCGGCTCCGCCTCGGCGGACTCGCCCTCGGGCCGTACAGGGCCAGACTCGCTACCTGTCCTCTCAAGCTCCGAGATGCCACCTCCTGGCCGCCTCCCGCCTCCTCTCCCCGCTCCTCCCGGTAGCCGTGATGACGGAGGAACGGTTCCAGGTTTGCAAGCCGATGAGAAAGCTCGGTGATGCGCCGGCGCAGAAGGGACACTTCTCTGAATAGGTCGTTAACGGACTCGGACAGAGGGCGCACCCTGCAGGACGAACAGAGGACGTTCAGCTTTACGCAACAGCTCACATAGAAATATTGACCTCAACTCTGATAGGCTATGTGACCTGAACAAAGATTTACACCAACCGGGAGGAACAGTGTGGCGTAGGCTAACAAGGTTGCTGATGATAAGTGGTTCAAATTTATTACGTGAGCAGCATTACACTGCTGCTCACAGGATTTTAGTTTTAAAACTTTAAGCTTTAGTCCAAACAACAAAACTATTTAAAATGTTCTTATTATTTTATTTTTATTTTTTCACATTGGATTCACTTAACCGTTGTATTTTCCCTACCACATGGTCCATTTACTAGCTGTTCTAGCTTGAGATCATTATCAGAGGATGGCGTTTGCAGATTTCCATTTTTTCCCCCTCAGCAATTTCAGGATATCTTGTCTCTGTGGGCATTTGAAATTATGCAGATTTATAACAACTGTGTAAGGTATCTGCTGATGAAGACATGTGACATGATCGAAAGTCTCAGAAAAGCTAGGCTACTAAATTGACCTTGCAGTGTTTTGTCAACTGCTGTTGAACCTCAGCCTTTGTATACATTTTATCTCCCTATCAAAGTTATTTTAAAGACTTAGAAATATAATATAGCCTGTAATATAATTCTACTAAATCTAAATAAAATTTAGGTTTGTCCATCCCAAATAGAATCAGCCATTAATAACTTCTTTTGTGTAATTTGTATGTAATTGTGCATTGAAATAAACTGAAATACCGAGAGCATGATCTCAGTGTCCTATACCTTCCACCTGGATGTCATAAATAAATTTAGATGTCAAAACTAAATGACAACCTTATTTACATTGTCACTGCTAGAATGTTAGTATAAAGGTTGTTTGTTTTTAAGTAAAACAAGAACAGAACAAGATAAGAAAACAATGTGAACAAAACCTAAAAGATTTGAAAGGGTCTGTGATTGGCTACATGATGACAGACTGAACTAATTGTTGTAGTAGACATAGTTGCAAATAATGTGTGAACAGGAACAATCTAATGATGTAAAAGTCACGAAGAATGTCTATGAAGAAGCAACAGAGCAGAGCAAACCAAGCTAAAGCTGCTCAGACAGCATGTTTTAACATATGTTAGGGGGTGACACTGGTGTTAAAGTTACCTGGAGTAGTCAGGCAGCAGCGTGCTGGGCTGAGAGTGCAGTAAAATCTTGATTTCATTGAAGATGCGTTTTCCCCAGGCGTCTAAAACTCTGGTGACACTGCGCACTGAGGCCACATTCACACGATCGGCTGAAAGCAAAACATAACACCATCAGGGTTTGATATAAAGGAAACAGCCTGAATGAATCATGAATACTATTGGCCACTCAGAGACGCACATGTGCACCAATGATTTTAAGCTTCAAATAGTCTCATCGCTGCTGAGTTTCATTCAGGTCACCAATAAATTATCTTTATAATTCACAACTTCAAACGTTTCATGATTTACAGGCCTAGAGATCAAACAGAGGCTCATCATTTACCTCCTTCTCTGTAGTTCCAGTACCCATAATCCACTTCATTCTCCTCGCTGGCTGAACGGGCCCCAGTTGCCAAAGCAACCACCATCAGCACCATCAACAGCAAGGGAGGGGCCATGACGGGCAGACAGATGCTCCCCTTTAAAAAAGAGAAGAAGAAGAAAAGAGACAAAAAAAAAAATTTAAAATGAACAAACAAACATGTTTTGTTTTCTTTCCTCAGACAAACACAAACAGAAAAAGATGGAAATGATACATTATAAACAAAGTTAAAATAAGATCCAGCTCAATCAGCTACAACAATGCATTTTATAATACTACTTCACTGTAAAACATTACAGACCCATTTAGTTATGTCAACTTACTTCTTTTAAATCAAAGAGCTCTAAAGTTTGGGATTTTGAGCTCAACTGTGTGAGTTTTAGAAAGATAAACTTTCAGAAATTCATCGTGTTGATTGAACTTGTGTATGTAAGTCATCAGTTGAAAGTTGGTGCGCAGGGATTGGAGCAAGAGGAAAATACAATAGCCTAGTTGCTGCGTCTTTTGAGTTTGAGAGAAACATACACATAATCAACTAATTATTAGGGTTGAGCGAGTACTCGGTTCAGATCCTTTGTACGAGTACGAGTATCACTAGAGTAAAATGTGTCAATATCTGTTTTCTAATAAACTATATAACTATATATATAAATATAGGAACCTGTAAATAGTTTCCAATAAATATAGCAACTTCTGATTAACCCTTACCAATTTCAGGCTTAAATCAGAAAAGTTCCACTTTTTGAACTTTGAACTGTAGTTATATCAACTTTATGGATTTGTGTTGCATTTCCAAGTTAAAATAACTTGAAATGTCTTACAGTGTTGGATCATCTACATGATGATGATGAATATACTAATGTAACGTGTGCTTTTTAATATGTACATTATGTTGGTAATACTGCTTTACATTTTTATTTTATGAGTTTGCAGATTAAATATACAACTACTATTAAAGATATATGTGCACAAAGACATTCATATAAAATGCATACACCAACAAAGTCACACGTACATGTATACTCACATTTGCATGTATTAAAAGTAAACCAAAGACAAATCCTAAAATCTCAAAGCAAGATAAAAAATGATTCAAGTAAATAAAAATAATGAGAGATGAAATGGCAACAAAGAAACAAAGAGTTTACAGTATATACAGTATATGAAGCAAGTATATCTCATTCAGGTTGTCCATCGCCCATCATTGTAATTGGGAAGTTACCAATTTCTGTTTAAGATGTTTTTCTAAACATAAACAATGGCAATGATTTTCAGACAATATCCACATGGTGGACAATAGCTAACATAGAATTTTAAGAACTTTTACTTCCTCATCTTCTACCACTTACTCAAGTACTGTACTGAAGTACACATCTGAGATATTTGTCAACAATTCATAGGAGATTTTACACACAAAAAATGTAATGTGCAAAATTAGTTTAAGAAATATGATGCATTTTAAAGATTTTCTCCAACTACAACATTAAAATGCTGTTTACATGAATATATGATAATAATACAGTAACATAATAAATACAACAACATACCACTCTATAAGGGACCATTCTTCATAATAAATACTTTTACTTTTGATATGTAAACTACATTTTGCTTCTCTGTACTTTTACTTAAGTAAACTTTCAAATTGAACTTGCTGTATTTTACTTAAGCAAAGGATTTGAACACTGTGATTGTTGTTGCAGTGTTGTGGGTCAAGTCTTTGTACTTTAAACAAAACAAAAAAAACAATAAATTTAACTGAAGGCCTGAAAAACAGAGCCATTTTTGTCCTGTGGCAGTCAGTTCTGTGTGTCTGTTATGAGAAGAGAATGACCACAGTCCAATCTGACAAAAGAAAGGAAGGTTTAAAACCTATTTTTTACTCTGATCCCAGGTTTGAGTGGAAAAACAAGAAAGGAGGTGAAAGCAGGCGACCCAGAACAGAGGACAATAAAAGAAGGGGCGGGGGACAGGATTACATCCATATGACTAAGTCTGTGAATCATACTGGACAATAATAAGCCGATGACTCACTGTTGAGGTATTCTAAATGTTGTCAGGGAATATGAATTTGGAGGCTGGTCAGTGACAATCTGCTGTACAATAATCAGACACAGCTTGTTTCACATCTGGCCAAACATATCAACAACACTGAACAACTAAGACACAAAACAGTGTCCTTCATTATGATAGTGATGAGCTGCAATAGCTACATGTTTAACTTTGCACACTAACAGTGAACTAGTAAAAGCATCACAGCCTGGAAACTGTCTGAAAAATAGAGCAAATGAGCCTGATACTCACGACTTGAAATGATGATGGTGATGCTCAGCAGGAAGTCCTTCTCCGATCTAGTTTAAACAACAGATGCCTCGGCTTCTCTTGCCTCTCCACTCTGTCACGGCCCCGGTCTTCTCTCCTTATTTCTCCTTATTTTTACTCTGATGCTCTCTCCACCCTCGGCTCAAAGCTGTAATATAATTAGGGAGAGAGTGTGGCAGGTCCAGTGCGGAACCACTTTTTTAAAAAAACTCTGTCGTATATTTATACCCCAACACACGCCCAACTCCTCTCTCTCTCTCTCTCTCACACACACACATTATGACATCCAGCTGCTGCCAGATGTGTTGCATGTCCTTTTCTTTCAGATAGGTCTCATCGTTTACCCTTTTATTGTCTCTCCTTCTCTTTACCCCCTTTATGGAACAGACAGGTATATGTGTCTGAGGCTGTAACTCTATCTGCTTCACAATAGAGTTTCTTGTACTGTGATCTCCTCAAAACTTAAGTTATGACCCTTTTTCATCTGTCTCTGCTGCATCTGCCCTTTTTACCCTCACGAAAGCAGCGTGAAACCTCAACACACATCAGAGCCAATATTTTTAAACTTCTGCCATGTAAAACAATACAGAGATACAAAGATTTTAATGTGAACCTTTTTTTACTGTGTTTGCGAGACCAAGACCTGTCCTTTACTATACTTTACTAAGTATTTAAATGTATTTTTATAGATTAAACTACCCCACAGAATATAAATTTGAAAAAAGTAGTCCAAAAATGTTTTAATATTTAGTACATGCTCTCTGAAGGACTCTTTAACTTTTAATACTTTAAGTACATCTACCAGTGGTGGAGGAAGTATTCAGATCCTTTATTTAAGTAGCAACACTGTAACACATTACTCCATAACATGTAAAAGTCCTGGATTTTACTTAAGTAGAAGTACAGACGCACTGGCAACTAAATGTATTTACAGTAAAGTAAAAGTTGTCAGCGGCCCCTGTCAGTGTTGTATTGTTATGTCATTGGAGTATTATTATTATCAGTGCATTAACAAGTAAACTGAACCTTAACTTAGTGCTGCAACAATTAGTTTCTTCGTCAGTTAACTGACTGATAATTAATCCACAACTATTTCTATTACAAATTAATTATCAAAATTGAGTCCTTTTTTAAGCAAAAATGCCAAATATATGATGGTACCAGGTTCTCAGATGTAAGAATCCGCTGCTATTTAGGGTCTCACAATATAGTAAAATTAAGATTTTGGGGTTGGTCGGACAAAACAAGACATAGAGCGTTTAATCGATTATTGAGAAAATAATAAGCTGATTAATTGATGAAAATATATATTAAGTGCTAATAATATATATTTATTGTAGCAGTCTGAAGTGACTTCATATACTCTGGAGTAGATTAATCTATATCAATGCAACAGATTTTATAAATTGATCATATGTTTTGTGTATAAAATCTTTTTTATATAGTATATTTCCAGAAATTTGAAATACTTAAGTGAAGTAGACCTTTGGCATTTTCAATTCCAAGTTTAAAGTTACTTTCCACCACTGACTTATGACATCAGGGGATATTAGACATTCCAATCCATTTACAGTAAACAACACTGAGTCTTTGCAGTAAATCTGGTTTAAAAGATCTGTTTATCTGTCAATGTTTTTGTACAGTAAAGGATTTGTGTACTTTACTCCCCAGGAAAGAGGGGAGATAAGAAGTGAAGGAGATGGGATATGAAATGGAATGAATTATTCTTTATTGACCGGCATCCAGATGTTATTCCAGCTCTCTCTCTCTGCTTTCAAGCTGTGGCTGAGGTGAGGTCAGACTTGGCTACCAATACAGCCGGATAGAAAATGGTGAAAAAGTCAAGTGTAGAGAAAAGGAAGGAGGAGTAAAGGGAGAGAGACAAAACAGACAGACAGACAAATCGGGTTAAAAAATAATGAGCGCTGGATTTGAACATCTGCGTGCCTCTCCTGGCAGCCTCAGAAAGCGATTCAACAGAGAGTTACTGCTGTGAAGAAGCCACTGTACCACAGCTGGTTCACATTAACAACAGGCAATTTTTCACTTTCAGCTGAATTCCAGCCTCACACGCCGTACTTTCTCCATCCCTGAATGAGTCTTTAAAAAAAACACATGACGAGGTGTGCGCTCGTGCCTCAAGCTTTTATTTCTCTGGCAGTATCTCACTGTGGAGGACAGCCAGCATTGCACTTCACATCTAGGGGCTGACGTAAGAAAATAATGCAACCAAAAATATCCCCTCTTAACACAATACATAGTTAAAGGCCGTCTTTGTATAATTTTAACCACACTTGTGGGTGTATGTCTGTGATGTGCAAATGCTTTCAGGCTTTTTAGTTAAGTTAAAACATCATGTATCAAACACAGTTGTAAATGCTCTTTTTATTAGTGCTCTGGCCCCTTGATTCAGTGTCCCCCATGAGTCAGTGTCCAGAAAAACAGAAAAACAGAAAAATAAGATTCTGAGGAAGTGGCTGTGCCAGAAACAGGAAACGAAAGACTGCAGCTTATGTAACAAGAACACTGAGAAACACAGATACACGGAACAACCTCAACGAAGAAGACTAGAAACAGCCCACAAAAACCCTAAAGTATGGAAGCTCAAAGATTTTGGCATCTTTCTTTCAAGTCAACATGGATATTTGTCTTTTTCTTCTCTTCTGTATGCTCAGGAATGCCCCCACTAAGTAAGCCACCCAAGCTTTATTTTGGCTGACACTGTACTCAGAGTGAATGGTGACAATTTGTGGATCAGTAATGTAACTTCTGGATTGTTTGCAGCCAAAGATGTTTAGATGAGTGTTTCTTTAGCATCATATTAACAGCAGACAATAATTATTTTCATTACCAATCTATTGTGCTTTTTTAAATTAATTGTTCCATCTATAAATGTCAAATGAAAAATGTGTCACACTTTCCCAAAACCCAAGAGGAAGTGTACAAATTGCTTATTTTACATGAGCAGCAGTCTAAACCCCCAAAATATTTAGCTTTTAGTGGCATATGGTAGAGAAAAACAGCTAATCCACACATTTGAGAAACTTGAACCATGCAGAATGGTTGTTGTTTTTGCTTAATAACTCTAAAACTATCTAAAACTATTAGACTTAACTAAAATTGCTGCAGATTCAGTTTCTGTCGATTGACTGATTGATTTACCGACTAATCATTTCGGCTCTTATCTTAACCTTTATGTTATGTCCCCTCACAGAAATACACCTCAAAAGCACCGTCTTTGTGGCCCTCACAGGAGAAGACCTCAACATTGAATCTAGTTTGGACGTGCCAGCAAACCAAAGTGGGGACATGTTGAGGTGCTTCGATCCTAAGAACAGAGAGATATACAGCTGTGAAGTCCGTGAGACGGCTGGTCAGTCACAACAATTGACACTGTTGCTGAAAAACCTGAGTTGTTCAGGAGAATACCATTGCCAATATAAAACAGCCAATGTGTACTGGTTCCTCCTAGTGAGAAGTAAGTAAGAAAAAGAAGAGAATGTGAATGAAAGAAGTAGCAGCACCAAGATTTAATGCATCTCTTCAGTTTTGTCTTGAAGTTGGAAGTGATAACAAGGTGTGAGCATGAGTGCAAAGTGTACTCTTTTTCTGTGGCAAAGACTGTGGGACACAAGACGGTACTGAGCAGAGGAATGAAAAAAGGGAGGGGTTGACAGTACTTTTTTTTTTACTTTGTGCAAGTGAGAATAAATTTGCCTGGTAGCTTTTACTATACTCGTACAAACTGAGTAGAATGGGAAGAAATGGGAATACACCTACTGACAGATTTGTAGTCACACTATTAATAGCCTAACTTTACAAAATACTTTTTCTGTGTTTTGTATAGCAGTATGTTAACATATGAAGCAAGATAACTTTCTTTGTATCCTGCTTTATTTGTTAACGTACAGCTAGAAAAATAAAATTTATGTAGTCAGCGATGGCTGCTTTGCTGCCTGTTTCCCTTTTGTTGACACATCTGTAGTTCTTTTCATCAAGTGGGAGGTATCATAGTGGTTAGACAACCTTGATACCTCTGCATACAACTTAGAGGTTGATGTGATCAGTTTTTCACTTTGCCATGCATGGACATGGACATGGGTGAGGGTTAGGCCGTCCAGTTATGATGCAGTCCTGGCACAGACTGACATTGAATGGTGTGTGTTTTCCAGATGAGGGCTACAAGGATATTGTAAATTTGGAGTCCACAGAACTCATCACAGTCGCCGTCTTCACTGGTGTGCTGCTGGTTTTCAGTGTGGTCGGCTCGGTGTGTGTCTTCAGAGGACATTGGGTAAGACGTTTCCTGCTCATAACCTGGCAGAAGTTAAGAAACAGAGTGTTGCAATATAAAAAACATTGCTTTGTTAACTTGTGGTGTTGTGAGGGACGTGAGGCTGACAGGCAGTGTTGTAGATTCATTTCTGAAGCTCTAGATGAAGCTGACTCCCATATTTTTATGTTCTAAATAGATTTAGCTGATTAATTGATTAGTCGATCAACCTAAAATTTATGTGCGACTATTTGAGGAAAGAATTCAGTACAAACATTTGGAAATTAATTCTGATTCCAGTCACAACACACATAACTAGAAAGGGAGCTGCTGCCACATCACAAGAAAATCCTCATGTGCTTTATAGTTTGTGTGTTATTGTTATAGATTTTTCTTTTGATGGATAAGATTGTCATTTTTAGAAAGAACACATCACTGAAGATGGCAAGGCTGGCAGAAAACGAAAGCAGAACAAAGAAAAAAAGAAGGAGAGAGAGACAGAGGAAGACAATGTGAATGTAATACCTGCTCAGTCTACGTCTTTCTATGCTGTAAGAACCTTTTTACTCATCAGTATACAGTGTGAATTTATTAAAGGATAGCCTCTTGAGATGCATCATCTCATTTTCAAGAGGGTCCTATACAGACTACTATACTGATTTTTGTCCTCCATCTTCCCATTCATATGTTTATTTTTATATGTCTTGTCTCTCTCAGAGTCTAGAGCCTCGGCCCAGGTCGATTTATGATGTGCTGGACCACTCGGCTGCCAACAGAAAGTCAGAAAGTGACAAATCAAAACCCAAGAAAATGGACCCCCAAAAAACGGTCAGTGTGAACTTCAGGTGTTGCCAGTACCACATGCATTTGACCTGTGTGTGACTTGTCTTCTACTTCCTTTACAGATGGGGGAAACCACACAACCCAAGGAAGAAGGCGTGTTTGAGTCTGTCTACGAGAATTTCTGAATCATAAAGAACTTTTTCAATAGATTGTGGTATTCAGTAGCTGAGACGATCTCAGTGTGGTTTGCTATGTCACTGTAACTTGTTAATATTATAGTTGCACTAACATGTAACCAGCATTTTAATGTTGTTGCTGGTTGCTTTGGAGCAGAAATTTTATTGGCATGTGTAATTACTGTATATCAATGTATTTGTGAATTATTGTAAAAATGCGAATCTGCTAATAACTCAAAATTAACTCAAATATAGTGGAGAAAACTGTAGAAAATATTAATTGCAGAAATATTATTTTTAACTTATTTTATTCTATTGTACTTAAAATATTTGTATATTATATATGTGTGTTGCATGAAGGGTCTCCACCTTACGTTTCATTGTTGTAAAATGACAATAAATGAACCTTGACAGTTTGATTTCCTTTTATGATAAGCACTACCTCTCCTCTATCGAACACTGACCAATGAAATTGAGAGTTATCGATTCTACGAGCCAATGGCAGCGCTCCTGTTAGTTGGACTTCCTGGTTCGGTTTGTTTTTCTGCATTGATCATGGCTGCAGAGGGCGACTTTCTGGCGAGATATCGTGCGGTGTCAAATAAACTGAAAAAGTAAGGCTTTGAGTCACATTAGCTCAAATAGGAAGATGAGTGAATATCACGAATGGCGGAACGTTACTTGGCAATACTGCTACTGATACAGCTAATGTTAGCACTAATAAGCTAGGTTAAGCTAACTGTTAGCCTGTCGCTGTCATTACTGTCAGTGTCACATGACGTCATTTAACCAACCCTTACGTGCATGTAACGAAGTTTATAATCCAAATATAATGTTTCTGGAGGTCAGTTGTTCGGTTCAGGCTCATATAAAGGGGCGTTATTCGACAGCTGACGGTAACGTTAATTTAGCAAGCTGCAGTCGGTAAAGCTGGCGAAGCACGCAGTCGTTCTTCTGTTTAGCACCAGAACAGTGTATTCACGATATATTGCTAGTTATAACCAGCTAATTGTTGTATTTTTTTTGTATGTCCTTGTCGTAGACGTTTTCTCCGGAAGCCCAATGTAGCAGAGGCGAGCGAGCAGTTTGGTAAGTGTCTGACTGTCTCTCTGCACAACCTAAAGTGAAAATTACAGTATTCGTTCAGTACGCACAACATGACACCATCTGCAGAGAATCTTACAGAGAATATATGTCATCAAACTGTTTCTTCATAGTTTGCCTTACATTGATTTCCCTGTTTTTTCAGGTCAGTTAGCCAAGGAGCTGAAGCAGCAGGACTGCCTTCAGTATGCTGCCTTCTGTAACCTGGCCATGGCTCGGTGGGTGGTGATGTACACTCCTTCTGCACCAGATTGACCAGAACCACCTCTCAGTGTCTAACACAATAGGAGACACCTCTGTCCACATACCTCTGGAGCTGTTTTCATGGTTTGGGCTTAGTTCCAATTAAGGGAAATCTTTATGCTGCAACATAAAGTGATGTTTTACACAAGAGCCTGCTTCCAACTTTGTGGCAACAACTTGGGAAAGACCCTTTTTTGTGTTTCCTTCACTAGTTTGCACAGAGTGCTGACTTCAACTCCATTGAACATTTTTGAGACACTGCCTTCTGCGAGCCAATGGCTGTAATCTTCAGGTCTTCACATAGTTTCAGCCATGTAGCGTACTTAAAGTTCAACCTTAATATCGTAAAAGATTTCTAAATAACTGCTGCTTTTTAAAAATCATGTAAATGTCATTTGTGACACATTAATCACACTTTAGGCTGTAAAATGGCTTTCACAATCTCATTATAAACAAAAACTGAAAACATGTAGACTTGTGCTGAGCATAAGGTGAAGCTTTGCATGAAAGTCTTGTTGGGGAACCAGCTGCACAAAAATCTTCTAATTTTACAACGTGGTATCACCAGATCAAATTGTCATTTGTTAAGTAAATTGGACTGCTCGGCTCTGAAATATTCAGAATTATGACAGTTAAATCAAAAATATACTATATTATCTGCACATCAGTTAAGTTATTTGTCAGTTCTCCACCCACTTGTCAGGCACATCATATCACGTTTGGAACTACTTTGTTTTCAACTCAATTAACATTGATTGGTTCAAACAGAGTGCTGCATGTTCAAAAAAGTTAGTGACCAGTTAGTCAGATTATCTCGCAAAGGCACTGTCCAGTACGTGACTCTTCTAGTTGTTCATGTCCCAGACAATAAACCACCACAGGGTGACAGAGGTGTTGGTAATTAGCTCAGAGGGAGCCTGGATCATTCATGGTGATGACATGTTTACTGTTGATGGTGCATCTGTTGTTGTTACACATCCTGAATGTCTTGCAGCTGTGAGCAGACTCTTTTTAATGCTCCTGGAGAGGCTTTGGCGTTAACCGATGCTGCCCGCCTCTTTCTCTTGTCTGAGAAGGAGAACAGGGCTCTGCAGGCCCCGGGCTTTGATGAGAACCTTCAGGCTGCACTTAACTGCTACAGTTTTGCCATCAAGGTACACTGTGATTCCTAATTTTTGATGACATGGTTAGTAGTTGAATCAACATCTGTGGTTTGAAAATATATGGGGAATGAAAGATACAGAATAAGGGATTGCAGGGTATGGAGTACAGTCCTGTATCCACATTTCTACAGAGACAGTGAGATAATGCTGATGTACAAATGGCTTACAGGTGTACATTGAGATGAACCAGCCTGTGATGGCAGCCAGCCTGTGTCTAGAACTTGGCAACGCACTCAAGGTAAAACTTTGGATAAGAACTTCAAGCTGTCCTAAAAGATAAATTATGGTGTTCTTTGATTTGTTGTTTCAAGTTGATGTGATGTAATAAAAATGTGGTGTTAATCGCTGCTCCTCCTGTGATTTCATTAGGAGATGAATAGACCAGGAGAGGCTATTGTTCATTACCAGAGGGCTGCAGAGTTGCAGACACAGACGCCAATTGAAGCTCTGCTGTCAATGGGAGAAATGGCCACGTGTAAAATTCTCACCCGTGAGTTCAGCCATGTCATATCTGATATGTAGCTGATACATATTTCATATGCATATATACGATTTAGCTTGATTTTCTGCAGTTTAAGCTTGAATCTCTCTTGTGTTTTTTGCAGGTGACTATGACGGTGCTTTGTCAGTGTTCACGGAGATGCAGCTGTTGTGCCAGGAGAGAGGACTGCAGCTACCAGGCACCAGCACCCCTGTTGGTGAGGCTCTGCATTTATCTACAGGCAGTAGCTGCCTAAAATAATAATATAATAATAATAATCTTTATTTGTAGAGCACTTTTCAAAAACAAGTTACAAAGTGCTGTAACAAGTGTAAAGACAATAATACCCAAAAATCAATAATACAAAAGCAATACAAGATAAAAGCAAGAAAACATTGAAAAGACTAAAATACACGTTTAAGATAAATATAAAATAGTAAAATAGAATAAAATAAAAGGGATAAAATAAAGTCAAATAAGATCGGGAAAGGCTCTCCTATAAAAGTATGTTTTAAGAAGGGACTTAAAAGAGTTCACTGACTCAGCCGACCTGATTTCCTCGGGCAGGCTGTTCCAGAGCCTCAGGGCCCTGACAGCAAACGCTGTGTCCCCTTTAGTTTTCAGTCGAGACTCTGGAACAGACAACAGACCTCTGCCCGAGGATCTCAAGGTGGTGCTGGTGCGAATGGGACTAAAAGTTCAGAAATATAACAAGGCGAGAGGCCATGAAGAGCTTTAAAAGTGATCAATAGAATTTTAAAGTCAATTCTAATCTTATGTATGAATGGATGCCAAGTGATATGATACAGTATGATACAGTTTTCAAAATGGAGGCTGAATGCAATATATCAAAAACAAAAATGTAAGGATAAGAACATTTTAATGCTGAGATTGAAAGCGGAATGTGTCTCAAGTTGTGTTTTAATATCATTTTTGCATTTTATTTGATTACACTCTAAAAGTGGTGTCTTCCTCTCTCTTTCATATCTTAATTTTCTTGGGGGGAAAAGGGGCATTTCTGGACATTGTGGCAAAATGTGAGATCTCCAGAGTACTACTGCTGATGTTGCTTGAGGTAACAACTTTTATTTTATATTATTAAGAAAACATACTGAAAGAAAACCATCTATAACAGAGTGACTGAAGTGGTACACCCTCAATAAGAGGGTTACGTATGAATTAAATCAGTTCTGTATTTTTGATTTCACTTGTGAAAAAATGCAACAAGGTTTTATACAAAGACTGTATAAAAGAAGTGGACTTGCCAATGCAGAAGTGCATTCTTCCTAATGGTCAGCAGGAGGCGATTACACCGGTTGCAGAAAGAAGTCTGATTGGATTTAACCTTATGAGGAAATTACCCTATTTCTGACTTGATTTATTACCTCATTAACACTTTCCTAATAAGTTCAGTGTCCCAGTTGCTAGTTTCAAGTCAGCATTATGGTCCCATTTAAAGTAAAATAGAATATAAAGCCGTGTCAGTACCACGGCAACTTGTCAGGTGCAGCGATGCGTATCCCTCCCCAGCTCCACCCTCTTGTTCAAATATGATCACTTCTGGTTCCAAAAAAACCCAACATGGGGACAACCAAAGTGCCAAACTCGAGGGTTGAAAACAGTAGGCCACAAACCAAAGGGTGACGTCACGGTGGCTACATATCTTCACCACAGACACACAGCAACATGAACACTTGCCAATACTTTAGTGTCAGACAACCATCACCAGCTTAAAAGAAGGACATTAACAACGCAACAGAAAATATCACATTGCTGATGCCAAATCGATTGATATTGTATAACTGTATTGATTATTTATCCCACATCTGTACATTACTTACTGGTGCAGCAGCCCTGTAACTGCCTTTGCTGTTTTCCTGTGTAGCCTCCACCTCAGAAGTTGTTACCAGAACATGCCCAGACCCTGGAGAGATACGCGTGGGAGTCTTTTGACCCTCACAGCCAAGGTAAATGCACCACAATATTGAGCAGGGATGTGATTGTTCCGGATTAATCCAGAATTCCGGATTTTCCAACCTGAAAATCTGACCCAAATGAATCATGCAGATCTCTAATTTGCGTTCAGCTGCCCATTCCACACCTGCACAGTGTGTACCACAGTCGCTGGCGCGCATCAGTGGTACGTAACGTGTTGGGCAGTAATACTGTAATATTACTTTTCCCAGTAATAGTGCCATTAGTTGACAGATTACTATTTCCAAAACAGTAATGTTACAATGTACAGTTACTAATCATATCAAGGCTGCCCTATTGAACGCACCATCCCTGACGTGAATGTGCGACCGCGCTGCAACTCTGCGGCACCAGACCTTATCAGCTGTTAGCCAAAAAGCTAAAGGAAGACAGGAGAACAGGGAGGAGAGGTATTTTCGATAGCTGTAAGTAACGTTGTTGCCATTATTGTGTAACGCGAACAATTCTACATTGACTTAGGGTAATTGAAGCATCAGCTAAAGCAACGCAGCAACGTGAAACTCAGAAAGAAACTCCAGTCGCTACTGCCAGTGATGCTTGGGCTCATCGGGAGAGAGTGGTGTTATATCACCCAGTAATAAGTAGGCTAGAGTAGCTAATATTACTGTTTAAGGAGTAGCCTATATGCTAAGTAACTAGGTAATAGCTATATTATTTCTGAGTAACTTGCCCAACACTGAGTTGACAATAAGCATTGGATAAATTGGATATGTTTTGATTATTGCTTGTTATAGGCTATGTCTAATGATCAATCACATAGCCTATATATACACTTTGCTGTATGAATGGTTGCTTTTTAAGTCTTTATGTCCGTATTTTAAAGTTATAAATTAATTTCTTGTGAATGGTTGTGACAGGGTTTATATAAGGCTGTTTCATACAGCTTTGATCTGCGGGGTCGCTCTGCGCTCCTTATCAACAGACAGGCAAACAAGCACTCCCCAGGTAACCATGGCAACGCCTTCTGTGTAACTGGCGCAATCCCGTGAAACTGTCGCGGCCGTTCTCATCTCACCCACACACCTACCCGCTGCCAGAGTTGAAATGTCCAACTTTTTCCTACAGTTTATCAATGGACAGAGACAGACGTGGCTGTTTGATCTGAGTTTCCTGAATAATATAACTGTCTTTAACAGTCAGGCCACCAGGTCTTAAACAGGCAACAACCTTTGCTGCTGTCTCCTATTCATTAAAAATCATCTGTTAACTTCTACTAAACTAATTTAAAAGTTAGTTGTTATATTATTTAGTTATAGAATCAATTATTTCATGTTGCACATTTAGCTGTTGAAGTTTGGTAAAAAATGAATACAAAATAATAATTATTATAGAGAGGTGGCAATGGAGCAGTGGATTAGACACTTGCCTTTAATTCCCACTGCAACACATCCACCAAATAAGTTATTGTCATGGGTCCTGCTTTACCATCCATATGTTATAATAGAGACGCCGCCAGTTTTATCGGGGTGGGGGGTGGAGGTGGGGGGGTCTCAGTATATTGTCCTGCTTTTTTGCTCTTTGCCAATCACATGCCTGATTGAGCTAATATTAGAGCAAAAATGTATGAAATATATATGTTCTCTTTTCAGTGGGAATGTAGAAATTGTATCATGAATCCTCTGAGTGACGTTTATTTGAAGTGGTGCAAACGTGGCTCTTGTCCTTTCCTTCAGTGACCTTCCTGCCCGATAATGTTTTCCTGCTCCTGCAGTCTGTAGTGGTGAGTTTCATCATTCACATACTTGGAACAGTTTGCAGGATTTCGTGATCCTTTCTGCCTTATACAGGAAGAATGATGGTATTCACGGCCTTCACACGACAGACAAATTTGCTGGAGCTTGTCTTCCTTTGCCAATGGAATTCATTTTTTTTTGTTTGCAGCATATGCAGTGGTGTTAGTAGGCCTTTGCCTGTTTTTCAATCAATATTTATGGTTCTTGATCTATGTTCATTCATGACTTAAATACCTTTTAATAAAACAGATTCTGTAGAGCAATAACAAGATTTATAATAGAGCATAAACACTGACAAAAACTCATCAAGGTCATCTGAATCTGCAGTTATGGTTTTATTTGTGCAGCGTGTAACACCAAGTCTGTTTTGCAGATGGCATGTCAGGAGAAAGACACAGAGTCCCTTAAGTCTCTTCAGACAGAGCTATGGTGAGTGTTCAGAAATGTTCATTTTCCATGTGATGGGGATGGAGCAGCATTTTTTACTGCTTCTCAATATTAATTTTCCATATTGATTGCATGTTTGTGTTTTTTTCTCCCCTCAGGCCATTTCTGAGTGCTGAGCAGAATCACCTTCTCCACCTGGTGGTTCAGGAGCGCATCACACCGTCTGGCCAAGGCATCTAGTACAGTCCAGTTTCTACTCGCTTCCTCTGGGAACGATACTTTATATAATGGAACATTCCTGTTTCTGACTGGGTCTGTTGTAAGGCCTGAAGATTTGTTTTCAAAACCTTAAAGTTGTAACTTGCACTCAGAAATACAAGCAATACAACATAACTTTGCCCTTATTAAACAAAGTTACGCAGATTTAGAAATCAGTGAAAATCCATTAGAATTTTCTGGAACTGTGTTGTCCTTCATCACCCCAATGTGAAGTTATTTGTCTGGGTGCCAACTTGAGCCTCAATTTAAATTAATTTTAAAGAAATCTTACTTGAGTGAAGGCTACAGAACTGAACCCGTTCATACATATTTATCATGTAATAGTGACTGTTTATGATTTTGTTGCATGCACAGCAGTTTCATAATGAAATATTAAGACTGTGTGATATTTGTTTTATTAATAAATGATATGGCTTAAATTCCAATGTAATTACAAACATCTCTTGCATAGTTATGAAATATGCTGAAATTAAACACCATTGTCCTCTATCCCTGGTTCACTTTATGTTCAATTGTACAAATTGCATGTACTTTTCTTATGATAGCAGCCAACTACAGACACAAAATCAAACATAGTGAATTAAAAAAAAAACTCAACACAAAATGTTACAAAAATATAATGGTTACAATGTACATAGATTTAAAAAAGGATACATTATACTTCAGTTGTAAAATAATGATACATGATTAAAACTACTTGTACTGTGAATTAAGGCTTTTTTCATTGTTCAAGTACTGCAACAGGAATGTTGTAGTTTTGACAACAAGCTGTATCTTCAGATACAGTATTTTTTTTTCACACTCTGGAAAGCTGCAGCTGTCCGCCTCACAACGTGATTTAACAGAATCGTAAGGACTTCAATCTCACATTTCATCCACTTCTCAAGAGTTAGCTGACAGGATTGATACTACTCTTATTTCTGTGTAAATGAAGCTACCTCCAGCAGCTAGTTAGCTTAGCATAAAGACTGGAAACAGCTAGCCTGGCTCAGTCAAAAAAGTTAAGAAATATATCCACCAGTCAGCACCCCTAAAGCTTACCAATTGTTAATGCTGGTAGTAGCTTCATACTTAACACACAGACAAAGATTGGGATCAATCCCGTCATCTATCTCTGAAATAATTCATTTATTAATAATTGTATAGTTCTATTGCTTAGAAATAAACACTTTCAGGGGTTGCACCCTTCTAATTACAACGTCTTTTTAGCCCATACTGCCCTACTCATGAATGAAAAATGACACTACCCTCTTCTCTCTTAAATCAAATAGAAATCTAATTAAAATCTAAATGTAACATAATCCTGGGTTCTATTTCAATGTATATTAAAAATATAAACAAATGGCTCGTTAGCAAAGTAACATTATTCCTCCATTTTCCTAGCTGCAGATCAACAATCTTCTGTTTTCCCCCTCCAAATTTCTAAACAAATCCTATTGTTTATTTTACCAAATTGAATCTGGGAACATGATCTCAGGCCTGCCCTCATTCCTCTTGTCGTGTCACTCGCTCTTCTTCCGCAGGACGAGGTAGGTGATCGCTAAGATGAAGGTGAGGACAAAAGAGATCCAGGCCAGGACATAGGAGTGCCCGTACCCTCCTCTGTTTTCGTCAGTGTGAATCTCGGCAGTGTAGATTGAGGCTGCGATCATTATACACAGGCCTGCAGGAGGGGAAAAAAGGGCAATGCTGTCACAAGCACCCAGATGAGGCAATTAAGGTGTAATTATTTTTCCTATTATAAGATAAGGCTCATGATCGCGGATGCTGTAGCAGACGGCTCTACTGCAGCCACAATGAAATGAGAAACATGACAGTTTTGCTGTGCTAATTTTGTAGTTCTATAAACTGATGACAATACATGTTAAAATCCCATTACTTTCTGAATGTTTTTATGTACTATTAACAGTGCCAATGATAGTCCATAATTGAGCCTCTGTATTTAACTGTATGGTGACATAATAGATACTGTAGTTCACAAATCATCCGTCTACACGAATAGGTCCAATTTTACCTAAGTCTGTCACAGCACGAGTCCTTCAATACTGTTCAAAACATGTTTTTAAATACAGGATAATGTACTAATGAAACAACTTATTCAGTGGTAAGAATGTGACTTCACTTCAACGTCTGATTTTGAAAACTCTTGTGAATATTCTTACTTAATTATCACAATATTCTGCCCATCTTGCAGACCAGTAGTTAGCACTAAAATATGAAGTAGATTAATTGATTGACAAAAAAACTGAAGTAAACTATTTTGATACTCAAGTGAGTTTAATTCATTCTTAAGCAAAAATGGGGAAAATTCTCTTATCCCAGTCTCTGAAATGTGAATATTGGCTTTTGACTTATACGATAGAAAAGTGAATACCTTTCAGCATTTTGACTGATGGTTGGACAAAATAAGACATTTAAACATGTCACCTCTAAGAAAGTGTGATGGGCATGTTTCACAATGTTGATGATTATTTAATTGACAAACCATTAATCAATTAATGGCAAAATTAATCAGAAGATTAATAGATAATGAAATCATTAGTTGACTCCAGACAATATCTTCACAGATTTTTCAACACTCACTTGTCCTCCACCCCGTGTTGTACCAACTGCCTCTAATCTCAAAAGATGATTTTGGTTTCAGTCACTTTCAGACAGAGGGGGCTGAAGTTTTGAAAATGTTCAATCATCAGTTTTTGACATGAGCCAGAGGCCACAGAGCCACATAAGATTAATCCAAAAACACTGACAGTTATTACTCTACTGCAGTGACTGTCAGTCATGTGTCACTGAGGCCTGATGTTCTGCAGATTAACAGGACCAGCTGGTTTAATTTTTTGGTTAAACTGAAAACCTGCAGACTCTTGAACCTGGACGGCACATGAGTGAAAGTCACTGACCTTCTGTATCTGCGTCCATGGTTTTTTTTTTTAACACCATTGTGCAGAAACACCGTACACTGCTGCTGATGACCTCTGCTTCAAAAGCTTTGGGTCCAAATGTCATGTAAGGGAAGCAAACAGAGATCCAGACATGCTTGCACATTGTCAGGGACAGGCCTCAGCTTAATTTCTTCCTCACCTTGTCTGAGAGGAAATGAAAACATTTTAACATGCTATACTGTAAGTGTTATGCTCAGTCCTATCACATGAAATGTTTTACAGTTACGCAGAAATATGAGTCTAAAAACACTGAGGTCTCATTCCACTGTTGTGCTTTCCAGTCAAGCCTTAGAGCATAGAAATGTACAAATATTTCTTACAGCTGCAGGTCAGACTTTTGACTCCAGGTTACTTACATGCGACTAGCTGTAAAATGCCAGTGACGGTGAACCTCTGGCCTTTGGGCAGGGTGAACAGCTGAGCCACAAACATAAACAAGGCCAGAATGGAAAAAACACAGGCCAGCACTGATGTGGCCTGAATCGTCTGGAGATACTCTGCAGCAGCAGGGCGACAAAACAGACACGCAGTCAGTGAGGGGTCGACAGCAACCCACATACACGGCAATGTTCACCTTAAAGCACCTCATCTGCAAATATAAACATTACTGATGAACTTATTAACATATTGTTACAATTTTAATAGCACATGACCTCTGATTATCAGCATCTGTCTAGTCTGTTTCTACATTTTGACACCTGGAATCTCCTCTATTCTGACAAATACTACTGCACTCAAATCATCCATCCCATTAGTTAAAAACATCCACGGAATTTACTCTCTGGGTAGTTTTTCAGGTTGGTGTAATGCCACATTGAGCCTGTCAACTCCCAATGGCCCCACAAGTCAGTTGACACTGTATCAGTGATCCACCAGGCCTGAAGTTGCAGAAGAAGAGGAGAACAAACACAAGACATCAAGACACATACAGTGGTTGCATCACATGTAAAGAAAAGTTGAAAGCTTTGCAGATTTACTGTCATCCATATACCAGAGCTGATAAAGTCAGTTTTTTAATGTTCTGTAAGGCTTAGTGAAAGTACATGTAGATTAGAAACACTGTGGGTGGCAAAATACCAAGAACATATCTTTTGACATTTGACTGCTGGGTATTTCCATGTTGTTTAATGGCACATGTGCTGGCCTGAGCTTCCATAGAGACATACATTTTGCTTTAGGTGTTTGTATTTTGCTACATTTGGTTGGCATTTATTCTCATATTAAAGCTTGTTGCTCTTCCTCTAAGCATAGGCGTGTGTTAACTGAGAAAACAAAAGGGAATTATTTCCACTTACATTATCAATGGTGGCCACCAGAAGCAGGATGACGGCGGTTATGTGCAGAACGACGATTCCAGAAAGCATCAACATTGTGGCCTTCGGGAAACTGATAACAGGGGAAAGGAGGAAGGATGCAAACCATTATTTATTTTCCACGCACGGTCTTATGCAACACAGGCTTGTATGTGGGGAAGCATCAGCTCACACAGCTGTCCCAAATAAATACTGTCTCAAACTGAAAGAAAAACCCAGAGGACAGACGTTGCGTGCAAGCCCAACCCGCTCCACAAGTCTCGTAGACACATTTTTGAATCAACTTCCCGATAGACTCAAATCTCCGCTCACATAACTTATGGTTTCATATCTTCAAACGTATTTTTTTAAACGTACTTTCTATAATGACAACTCAGATGAATTGGCATCCATTTGCAGTGCCCAGAAATACTGGTCCGTTTCCTTAATGACTCGTTTTTCATGGCTTTACAGCCTATTATTTCCGTCGACAAGAAAGGCGCATTTGTTTACGCTGTTTGGGCATTCCCGAATGGGCCCTGTACCACACTCAACAACACTGAAAAGAGCGCGAGAATACCACGACAGAAAATAATAAACACACCTCTAACTTCTATACCCAAACATAAACACTGTCGCATGTTAAACTCTATGTTCACATACATGCCTTTGCAGTCGCGCGTCTTTTTAATACTTTTTTTGCGCTCAGTCACATCCGTGCAATTCTCCAAAGCGCTGGTGAAAATCTGTACTGAAGTTAACTTTTCTGCACTCTACACAACAAAAACACACACAAATTCTGCACAGTAGCGTCTCACGGCGACATAAGGCATGGGCTTACCTTTACAAAATGTAAACAACGTGGATAGACGTTAGCCTACCTGAAAGTGCTTTAACGCACGGCCCGGGAGTTATTTGGGAATGTGAAACACTGCACAACCACCACCCTGTTTTACTCTCTCCCTCTCACCAAGCCCCACCCATAAAGTTTCTAATTTTTTCCCCCTCAATGAATCGTTCAGGCAACCCATAAGGCTTCAGGACGCCCCCTTAATCTCCAAAAAGTGTGTAAAGAGTGAAGTTTTAAGATCATTCATTGTTACATGGATTTGTAAAGCCTGTTTCAGTTGTATTCCAGGAATACTTTTCCTACAGGCTGTGACAAACTGATTTCTTTTAACTCAATTTCTCAACTGGGTGTCCCATCTTTATTAACAAACTGGCCACATCAGCTTTAGCTGTACTGTTATCCTCT